TATGAAAAGACTCAACGTGTTGAAAATGTCAGGTAAGGCTGGTGAACTGGAAACACATAGTATTTCGATAGTAATTAAGCAATGGTAAGCAACGCGGGCTTAATTTGGCCATATGACCTCTTACGTGATTTTTGACACTGTGAAAAAAACAGTGTTATAGCTATTGAATGTCATGTTGTTTCGTGATTACTGGAGTCCATATTTTTAATTCTAAGTCAAATTAGACAAAAGCAATGTTTTAACAAGTAGCTTGCTTTTATGTTCGAGTGGCAAAAGCAACATCTCAACTGTTAGAAACAATAGTGTATTGATATTTTTTTGACACGAGAACATAAAATCCATATCTTCGAGCGAACCGTGTACTGTTCTGTTCATTATATGGACTAAAATCAGAATGACAAAACACGACAAGTAAGACGCCGCGAAAGACCATCAGATATAAAAGCGAATATTTTTCAAATTATAGCATAAACTTTAAAGTAGAATAAATTTACGTATCTAAAGATGTCTTTTTTTAAAAGTGTTTTCGTTTGTATTTCCACCGTAATTTTGCCGTTTTATATATACGAAGCAAACACTATTTGCATTTTCACAGCAACAACAACAATGAAAATAGCAGGAAAATTTTTGAAACTCGTTATATGTCACCCCCAAACGTAACAAACGGAAAATACTCGCACCGTACCCCGGATGTGAATTTGTAAAGAAATGAGTAATGATAATAACATAAAAATTAATTTGCATAGCATATGACTAAATCGTCAGGCTGGGTAGGCCACTAATGAATACGTATACGCCACCCCAAAGAAATAAGTTTCAAACCACAGAAATGATGTATTATAAACAACAGACATTTCGTGAAAGAAGCTACAATGTAATATTTAATTTTTAATGAGCTAATGTCTATAACGGAAATGTGCATTTTCTCATGCACCGTAACAACTCAAGCAAGATTGTAATATCTACAAAACTGGTTAATCGCCACATGTTAACAAAATTATACTCCGTCCATGCGAGTAATAATAGTTCTATTTTGTAATAATGAGCCTTGCATATCCCCTTAAGGTGGCTCCCTACAGTTTTAGGAATATTGAAAACTAATGATTTAGATTGAAATTTTTGGCAGGAAGTTTCTTGCTAAACGAAATGAAATTTTCCAAATATATTAACCAACGTTCTAACAGTCGAAAATTGTCTTTCAGTATCACGTCATTACCGTTTTTATGGTAACAATGGCGATTCAATATGGCCGACATTTTACCTATTCACGCATTTTACTCGAAAAAAAGTTCGGTAAGTCCAGTTTTTTATTTTAAAAAAGTTTTCTTACAAAAAAATGGGAAATTTGAGCAAGTTTAAAAAAATTCTATAGAGCCAAAAAATTTCTATCACGAAAAATCACGTTTTTTAATTTTTAATAATTTTGGCTCTATAGAATTTTTTTAACTGATTCAAATTTCCCACTTTTCTAGAAAACTTTTTATAAAATAAAAAATTGGGGTAACCGAGCTTGTTTTCGAGTAAAATGCGTGAATAGGTAAAATGTCGGCCATATTGAATCGCCATTGTTACCATAACAACGGTAATGACGTCATGCTTATGGGCAATTTCTGACTGTTAGAATGTTGGTTTCCTTAGCAAGAAATCTCGTGCTAAAATTTGAAATCAAAACCACAAGTTTTCAATATTTTAAAAAGTTGTAGGGAGCCACCTTAACCGGTTTACAGTTCACACGTAATTTACTTCGACCTGACAATTTTTGTCGCAGAACTAATTAATATGGAATGTGATAATCCTCGTCGTCTAGTGGCGCGCCATCCCTAAAAAAAGGTTGTTCGTAACGCGGTGAGTCACCTTTTTCCACTTTACCAGTCATATATTAAACTCCATAATTTTTTTAGCGCACGCATGAGACACCATTCTATACTGAAAATGCTTGGTTGCGCAACAGGCAGACTGACAAGACAAGCCAGAATATAGTGAGTTTAAGCATTTTAAGCACATCACACTAACCGGTTTCTCTTTTTCGCGCCAAACATATTGTATACCGGCATATTAAAGCGGTTACACGGAAACAGAAATTTACCGAATCATCAGTTCATGTCACCTCCAGAGCGGAGTGATTCTTATTCCGCAGCGCGTACCACCACCTATCTGATATGGAAAGTAATCCGATACGCTAATAATCCGGAATCGTGTAACTGGGGCCTAAGTTAATACAGATTAATCCTTTTTATCTAAGAAAAAGTGCATCTTAATTGTTTATGGTGCAATTTGATTATCAGATAATTTTCAAATCCCAAAAATAGAACTTAATTCTCAGTGAGACCTGCGGGTATCCTGTGTCGCGCGCGCGTGGTATATGATAATTATAAAGAGATATTTTTTAAAAAACAAATATGTTGAATCTGCTTTTCCACCGTTTCTAACACCGTTTCTTAGCATGCATAGTGAAATAAATCTGGCGATTTGCGAAAATCTACTGGGAATAATTATTAGAAATTACACGAATAGCTTCAGTAGGATTGCTACTGATGGTCGCTCCATGCATATATTGTTTGGAGTAGTATAGTGCACGACTGCCGTTTTATGATAAATGAATTTTCCCTAGATCGTCCCAACCGTGCATTCAGTCCAGACAAACTAATACCATTCAAGTTCGTCGAAATTGACAATAGTTTATGCGGATAATTCGTATTGACGGATGATTTCTCTGTTTGGCCGTGTTCACACATGCACAGACGAACTAGAAGACGAACTATCTCAGTTTCGCTTGCTACAGTTCTTCCAGACGGATGATCGGTCTCTAGTATAAATCGGACCATTATGTGCGTCCACACACTTGTCGCGCAGTTTTCCGAATTATATAGGACAGTGAATGGAGGAGCCGTCCGGAAATTCAGTGGCGTAAAGCCTTAGGACTCCCCGCTATTCGTAGGGTTTGGTCAAAATTTGAAAATGGTCAAAAAATCAAGCGGTGAAAACGTTCGATGAAGCCTGGTTCGCGTATTCATCACATTATCCCCCCTTGCTTCATACCGACTCAATTCTTGGAAAGAAAGTTTCTCATCACGTATACCTCGGCACCAAAACAAATCGTAACGTCATGGAATTTTTTTTTCAGTTTTTCAGATTAGTATTTGAATACAATAGTCTAGTCAAATAAATGTAAGCTGGCATGCTTATATAGTTGTCATTGTTTGATCTCATGTAAAGTGTTTTATAGATCGGCGCGTTATCTATAATTACAATGGCAAGCTTCATATTTACACATGCGGGAAAACTCGATGAACATTTTTGGGACGATCACATCGAAAATGATGTCCAATACAGGTATAACTTTATGCTTGCCTATTAGCTATATTTCAAAAAGGAGAAACATACATAAATGTTCTGCAACTGCAGTTGAACAAAAACCAGCTGATCTTAAAATGATGACAAAAGTGAGTTTTCGTGTGTAAGGAGGCATTTGTCTGCGTTCTTTCTAATAACAGTAAAAACGGACGCAAAATTCATATTTACAATTTAAAACTGACTGAGAAATAAAAGTTTTCCGCATGGAAAAAAACAGTTGAATTACTCAACCGTTTTAAACACAGAACCTGCAAGAAATGAAGAAAATATGATAATTCAGTTTTGTCAAAGTTCTTTTTTCTAATTTGCTGATCTTTGTGACTTTTTACGCTGTGGAAATTCAAGCGCGGCAATTTCTAATTAATTTTTATCATTTGAACACATGATATATATAAAATTATATACAGGCGAAATTCGTAAAGGCGACTGCAAAAAACGTGTGATTTCGATTTATTCAAAAAATTGAATGGTTCCCTGTAGTTTAAAATAGCGGGTAATGTGTGTTCAGTTATGTAAATTCCATTGTGTGTTTGAGTAGCTTATAGCCTCTTTCACATTTTAAAGTCTTACGCCGGAGTAATTATATGCGAGAATTCCAGTCTACAAAAAATAATTTAAGATGATATGCATTTTATAACCTTATAATGAAAATAATTGTAAATTTTTAAATGCTGAAAATTTATAACGATTTACTTAAATTGCTCATTTGCATAGAATTTTAAGATACCTTAAACAGCTTTTAGGATCTTTGCTTAATCCTTTTTCTTCTAGATCTTCATCAAACTGAATTCCGAGTCAAAGCCATGCAGTCTTTTTTGATGTGAAAAATAGAGAAACAACTAAGTCTTTTTATATATTTGCATGCCTGTTGCAGCTGTAGCTTGAATAGACCCTCATCATACATGGACACTTACCTTTAATGTAGACCCTTGAGTTCTTCTTATTTTGTTTGAAATCCTTTTTTTTCTTGAAAAGGCTACTCTCTGCCTAGCCGGTTTAGTTGAGCAATATTTGAAGAGAAATAGTTTTTTTGTATATCGCGGGTGCTTATAGCGGACATCATGTACACGCGCGAGACTTGATGAGCTGCTGAACATGCAGTCTGCGGCATTTATGCATTTGCCCGATATAATAATTAACATGCAGTTGTTCGTGGAGGTGAGGTGAATATCGCTGAATGAAAACTTAGATGGAATCGACATTTGAGGCCATTCATAACCTCGCAGCAGATTTGAATTTGAAAGGCCTGTGCTTTTCCTTCGCGCGGATTTGGGCATGAGTGCAAAAGGGTATTAAAAAGGGGCCCCATATAGTCCCCCCAAAATGAATGATAAATTACTTATTGTTTGAACTGTAAAATAATTGTTTTCAACGATAAATAACTGTTCGTTTTTAGGTTAACTTATATTTATTACTGTAAATGAAAAGTCCAAACATGAAGCGTCAATTTTTGAGGGATCCGCTATACCGATATAATTATTGGGCTAAGTCATTCGAATTCTAACAACAAATTAATTTATATAGATATATATCAATATACGCCCCCCCCCCCCCCCCCCTTCAAGTAATTGTGTACTGAGCAACATAAACTATGCGTCAAATAGACACTTCTAACTTTTAAAAGCATAATTAAATTGTATCTATTGTTTATTTAGCTAATATCTGTTACAATAACGTGCATTTTCTCACCGTAACAACGCACGCCAATTTCTAAAATCTACAAAGAGAACTTAGTTCTGTTCATAATTATGCGTTACAAAGAATAAAAAGCCGTGCATTTTTCGTCTATTTCTTCGCAGTGCACATTTGTGCGGCCCTTGCAGTAATCTTCCTTCTGTGGTCTCACCTTACATTCTGACAAATCTTTTAAACAAACCGTATTTAAAGTCTTTGAGCGTCTAAAAAAAGGTTATTCGTAACGCGGTGAGACAATTTATTCCACTTTAGTTTTACCATGCAGCAATATTTTTAAACTTTTGATTACTTCTTATAGCGCATGCATGAGATCACATGCATGCACCATCCAATATATTCATCATGCAGCACGTACTTTCAAAATGGTTGCTAAATAATTATAAATTATACATTAGGTATATAGGCCGACAATCCAGAATTTAGTTAATATAAACATTGTTACACGAAGTTAATGCATGCATCTTTTTATGTAAGAAAATAATTTTGTTTATAGTACAGTTTTAACTTGATAATCAGACATATTTCAACTCCCAATGTTCAAAACTTCTCGAATATAGGTATCCGGTGATCTTGTCCTAAAATCAGCGCTCAAAAAGGTTGCCAAAATAAAAATCCACTTTGCATTATTTAAAGAAATATAATTTCTGTTGTTCTTTTTGCAATTCAAACAATTGATGATAAACAATCTAATGTTTGAATTGCAGTTGACCCGACCAAAATACGACGTATAAATTAGCCCTATAAGCGTTAAGCAATTTCTATAGATGGATCTGCTGTACTATAATAATTATTATAATTTCCTTTTGGGGGATGTGTGGTAAATTTGAGTATACCCCGTGTTTTCTAAATTCGTACGTTCACACGGGATCGTACGTTCATCATTTGGGACCGCTTCAAATTCATCCAGCCCATGTCCAGATGCCGTTTGTACGAAGGCTAGATAGCGCTAACCTTCTTTCCTAACAACCGGCCCGAGTTGTTCGAACGGTAAAAGTGGATAAAAATTTGAACGGATTTGTTTAAATGTATGTTTCTCTTTTTTGTGTTATTTTTAGCATAATTATACCTCTTTGGGACATAACTTTTGCTGTGATCGTCCCAAAAATGTTCATCGAGTTTTCCCGCATGTGTAAAAATGAAGCTTGCCATTGTAAGTATAGATAACAAGCCGATCTATAAAACACATAAGATTACACTAAATAACATATTCATGCAAGCTGATACTATTTACTTATTGACAAGATTTTTTGAGACTATTTAGAAAAATGTCATTATATACGACCTATAAAGACTCATTTTCTTGCCTAGGTACCAGATACAAATAAGCCCTGTTTTATAAGACGTCGAACTTTTCATGAGTCGAATGCACTTAACTTATACAACTGAACCGAAACAAAGACTGTATCTCATTAACATTAGGTTCGGCACATGAAAAGATCGACGCCTGAAACAGGCCAAAGAAGTTTTGAAAACCCTCTTTTTCATAAAAAAAAGTCCTAATCCCCAAGTTGGTGTCGATGGTGACCGAACAATGCGGAATCCAAAGTCAATGTCATGGGATGCATGGTGGACTTTGCCGTGGCCTGCCTCGATAATTGAGAGGGGAGTTGGAAGGCTTATTCATGTATACTTCACTCGAATATACATGCATGTTAACAGACCGCAAATTAAGATAATCGATTTTAAAAGGGGTTAATCATGCCTGAGAACTTGAAAATATGAATATCCCCCCTGAATTATCGATACTATACGACGATACCGGTGGTCGTTCAATAGTCCGGCAATGTTTTAGGTAGTGGTAAAAATATTAATTCTCAGCGGTGTAAGCAAAAAACGCGTAATCTCGATTTTCTGTTGTAAGTGATGCGCACGAACGAGTTCAAGAAAAGTAAACTGATAAAAGTGCGATTGGCCAAATCGAAAAATTTTGTTCACATCAGCATAACTGCATGCTATTTTAAAACTTTTTTAAATTACATCTTTTGCTGCCTCAAAGTTTGAATAAGGTAGTTTTTTTCATTTCATCGTCTTACACCTTCAAATTGGTGCTTATAATTATTAAAACCCCGCTTTGTTATAGTTTATATTAGCGTGTATATTATATGTAATGCCTTAAACGAATGTAGCTAATGGTTCATACTGGGTTAGTACTTGATAGTATTCTTCAATGTGTGCGAGGTGTGAACGCGCTATTATTCAAAATTCAACATGCGTGTATTATATTAGTATATTCTCAACTTAATCGAACAGCATTCATATTCGTGCCTCATGGCCGAGGAATTGCCGTATCATATGAGCAAAATCAAATCACGCATCGCGATGGAAATTTGGCCCAAGATTCAATAAGCGCGCCACAACTTTTGCGAGACAAACCTAATACGGTGATCTTCAGCGAGCGTCAATGGTCATTACACATACCGAAATTGGTACCAGTCCATGCTAGCCCCTTTCCATTGTTTAATTTAAAATACCTTAAACATCTTTTAGATTCTTTCTTCGCTCGTTTTTCGTCTTCCTCAAACTGAACTCAAAGGCAGTTTTGGTTGATATAAGTCGATAACAAAATAAGTCTTTTTATATATAGCTATGCGTGCATGTTGCAGCTGTGGCTTGAATAGGCCCTCATCATTCAAACTAACCTTTAATAAAGACTCTTGAGTTCTTCTTATTTTTTTTTGAAATGCGGTTTTATTCTTTGGATAAAGGCCCATTATTTGCCTAGCGGTAAATAACAGTTAATACAGTGCCACTTCTATGTTCAGAATCAAATTTGAAATTATATTGTGATCTATATTGTGTCTCTTAACATTCAAACCCAACGCCTTATCAAAAAGCCATCAGATGCAGTAAACTATAACTACATGCTCTTTGACGTGCATACAAATACTAGCTCATATTAATTTTGTTCTTTCGTTCAGTTACTGTTGAGTTATTATAATAATAGAAATAAAAATTGGTCTGTCACATTTTTAGGAGTTTATTTTATCTGTTTGAACCTCACATACAAAAACGGCTTCAAGGCCGGTAGATGTGAACGAGGGAAATAGTCACGGATGTTCAAATAGGACCAGTAGCAGTGAACTTACTGAATTCAATGAACGGCCTGGAATGATAACCGTAAGAGTTATTTTACTTATTTGGCTGCAATCTTTGAAGCCAATTTGAAACCGAATTTTGTACCAGTGCCAGTCCGTTTCCATTGTTTTTATCAGCGCGATCATCGAACACGAAGAAAAAACAATACAAAGGGATTGGCACTGGTACCACTTCGGCTTCAATTTGGCTTCAAAGATGGCAGTCGAGTTATCGTTCCAGTTCATTTAGAGTTCGCTGGCTCGTTTACATCAGAGCCTTCGTAACTTTGTACTCGTTCACATCAATCAAAAGTAGAAAATCGCACATCAAATCGCAAGTTGATGTGGGCCACACAGACGGGACGCGAAGCGGCAACGCGACATATAGCCTTAAGAAAAGTGTTCAGAATGAATTTGACGCATTTGTCATTAGTGCTTTGGGGATTTCAGGTATAGCCGCCGCGTCAATAGCCATTCGTATATTGATCAGTAAAGTTCATGATGAGCATAGTGCTATTGAAAGCGTCAGCGTTCATTTTAGGTAATACTTTGCATATATCAATAGAGCGGTCATTCCATGCACGGCCTTCAAAGTCATTAATTACTTGGTTTGAAAATTTTGAGTTTAAGTGTTCATTTTTTACATTTGAGTGTGTAAAGTATATTTAGGATATTACACGGTTGCGAGTATATATGGACTATATATATATGTTCGAGTGGCCAAAACAATATGTGAGACATTGTTTTTGACACGAGAACTGACATAAAATCCATATCCTCAAGCGGAACCGTGTATTGTAATGTTTATATTATATGGACTAAAATCAATGAAATCAGAGTGACAAAAATTACCGCACAAATACGACGAGTAAATAAGTTATATATGTTATAAATTATAGTCTAAACATTAAAGTAGAATGAATTTTAATTATCTAAAGATGTCTTTCGCTTCCGAATATTCGAGGTTCGACTGAGGTTCAGCCATGGTCTCACCACCGCGGTTCGACCGCAGTCTGACCTCGGTTTAACCGCGGTTCAATGTTTAAACTAAGTTAATTAACAGCAGTTTTTGTTAGGTTATTTCTGGACAATACTGTATTTCCAACGCTAAATTCGCTTTATATATACGAACCTGTTTCCTCAAGTGCGCGATGTCGTATTCCGCGCGGTTTTCTAGCATGCGTGCTATTGGCGTCACTGAGTTATTCAACATGCCGAATAATTTTGTGCACGCGTAAACATTTCCTCAAACTGTGCCTGCGTATTGAGCTATTGGCTCAGCAGTTGGTGCGAATGATACTCGCGTAAAATTATTTAACAATTGGTTCAAACACATTTAAGGTTTATTACATACAGGAGCATTACATTCATTACTTTTAAGCAGTTAACAAATCATTCAAGGTGTCCTGAGTGACCCATTTACTCAGTGCTTTGTGTTGCTGGAGAAAATGCTTTGTGTTGCTGGAGAAAGGGGACATGTCGAAGGTCATGGTGATTGAGATTTAAAATTGTTGTTAAATATCGATATCATCAGTCAAACTCTAACAATTACATTGTTATGCGTGATTTCAAAGGCCGGTTTTCGTTTTTTTTGAGACACCCTGTAGATAATTGGGTCAAAAATCCGCTAGTTCGTTTTCCAGTCCAGATTCGGCAACTATTGTGTTATTTTGCGCCCACTTGAGTTGTAAAAATAATTCAAAGTATGAAAAGAACACACGCGCATTCGCTCCAGCTGCTGAGGCGATCGTTAACTCGTTCACAAAATTATTCAACATGTTGAATGGCGACGCCGATAGCACGCGTGCCAGCGAGAATACGACGCCGCACACTTGAGGAAACAGCTCAGCTAACAGTCACGAGTGACGCTCAGCTCAGTTGTTTCCTCCGGTGTGCGCCAGGCTCAGGGGTGGATCCAGCACTAGTGCACTAATTTGCATGACACAAGAAAACTGCTCAAAATAGCCATTTTGTTTTGTAATGCAAATTAGTGCACTAGTGCTGGATCCACTCCTGCCCAGACTTGAAGTATGAGTTATACTCTAAAGTGTATTGAGGAGCATAATTTATTCATAAATACATATATATTCAGATTAACAGACTGTGAAGACAATCATATACGAATATACACTGTGTATAAAAAAATTCGAATCCAACTTTGACAGGCTTCTGTGTATAAAATACTAAAGTAAACGATATAATTTTTATATTGCAACAAAGATTAGCTTATTTAGTTTGCGATTATACCGTTCTTATATCGACACGACCAAAACTGGCTGAGTTATCGTCTTTTAAAAACTGTTGCTCGAAATCAAATTTTCCCGCCGATGGGAATTTGAAGTGAGACCTCCAGACAAAAGAAAATGTAAATCAATAAATGTTCGTTGTTCCGTGCTTAATTGAGGCATTGTGTTCTTCAAAGCAGAGTTTTTGCGATAAATTTGCATTTTAGTTTCAGTAATAACTAGATTTTAAAGCCCTTTGGGACTAACTTTCAATAAAACAAACGTGCAATTCCCATCGGCGGAAAATTGTGATTTTTATGAACGTTTTTGTCGAACCAGTACTCCTTCACTTTTCAACTAAATGACACGCACAACGTGTCATTCGAAAGAGAAATAAACGAACTTCACAATGGTGTAAAAATCAACCAAATTTGTCAAAAATAATTCGCATTATTACACGCAGAATTTCAATTCGAATTTTTTTATACACCCTGTATAGCTATGCCGCCATATACAGGTTAACTCAAAACTAAACTCTTATATGAAACTATTATAAACGAACAATTGCATGCATTAATGAAACTACCTCATTTCTGAAAATCATCTTTGCGTTTCATACATGAATTTCAATTTTTATGAGACGTGAACGTTAATGACGACGTAAAAATGGCGAGTAAATGGCGTGGCATGCAGGTCGACACAAACCGGGCGCGATGCGGCAACGCGATGCGAACATCTCAGTTTTCAGAAGCACATAAATTAAGTTCAGGAAGCAAAATTTGGAATCTATGGACGCCAAGAGCAATGTGTTATCGTTAGTAAGTAAGTAATCTACAAGAATACAACTATGATAGTTAAAAAATTATTTGCATTTCAAAAATAGAAATTTATAAACTTTGACTAACGCGTCGCGTCGCCAAATCGCATCTTGTCTGTGTGAGCTTTTAGTGTTAGCCCATTCAAATTTGAACCAATAGGTAACTTCAACGGCGTCCTTTTTAAAAGACACTCTGGAGCACTTACGATGCTTGGCCATCGAAAGCCTAACAACAGGTGATTTCAGTAACGTCCGTATTCTTTGGGATCGGCTGTATAATTGCCCAATTTTCTAATCCATACAATGAAGTGCAATGAGGTATTGACATAAAACATTAACACAGCTATAGCTATATCTAAAATACAAGTCTTCAAAGCATAGCCCAACTGGGAGTTGCTAGATGTTTATTTCATTTTATTTTATTTTATTTTTATTTTGTTTGGAGTTTGTTAGATGCTTATAAAAAATTTTATTTCCCTAGCCCTGTTCCTTTATACCTATATATAATTTTATATACATTAATTAGACTCCTCTAGCCCATGGTTATTTTGTGCGCCCAGTACAGTTTCTTGGTATCTAAATTGAATGCATCTTTTGTAAACACGATATTTTTTCGAATAGAAAAGAAGGAAACACGCCTTGGTGTGTAAGGAAAGGCACTTTCTTGTGTTACCGAACACACATCCTGTGAATAATAATTGCAATATATACACTGTGTTTCCCAAAGCGCAGAGTCTAATGGACAATTGATGTATAAATACTGCTATACATAGCTACATTTCCCATTCCATGCAACTTTGAATATTTTAGTATATGTTCTTTTAATAAATCTTGGCTTGTTAAAAATAGTCAGTTTAAGTGCCTATATCACTTGTGGGATCTTTACGGATTTGAATAGAGCTTGAAAAATTAGTTTATAAATTCTACAACCCTTATTGATAAAGTTAAATAGTTTCGGAAATATTTACATCTAAACATGACGATTTCCGTCGTGCTCAGGGGCCTGGGACTCAGGAACCGAGTTCTTGTAAAAAATAATATAATCAATTGTAATTTTACTTCCATCTTCCAATAACGTAAAATATTTTCAGAAAAACTGGTCAGTTGCTACAGCCATACACAACGCTCGTTCCCGCATTTTTTTTTCTTGAGAAGCGCAAACTATAACGCCAATGAAACTCTTCATGTTCACATTATAAAAGACGGCGAATCATTCCTGAGTTCCAGTCCCCCAACCGACGTATTTTCGAAACTATTTAATTATATCAAAAAAAGGTTGTAGAACTTATAAACTGGTTTTTCAAGCCCTATTCAAATCCGTAAAGATCCCACAAGTAATATAGGCACTTTAAATTATAAATACATAATTATTGTCCACTGTAAATGATTTTGCTGCAATAAAATTAATACCGCAAGTTCTAATAAAGTTAACGAGTTTTCATCTACCGGATATATTGCAAATGAGGCTGAACATTTAGTTCTCATTTAACAAATTCCTCAATACGCACTGTATTGTGCCAGAAAAATACTGGACGGATAGTTTTTTAAACCCGTCACAAATGACTTTTTATTTTTCTGGTTGCACTGCAAAGGAAATTTGACTGAATAAATTATTTTCTTTTGTGCAACTTTGTTAATTTTCTTCGTCATCAAAATATTGAACTTTGTAAGATCTCCAAACAACATAACTAATGACATCAAACTGCATAATGGTAAGGGAATCAATGTTGAGTTTTCGATCAATTGTTTAAATTTTTTCAGGTATCCAACACTTATTGGTGGAGGGAAGGGGAAGCATTTTTATTATTTAATGGAGGAAACCGTGGCAAATGTCTTGACCAGGATTGCAGTTTTGGACTCACACATGCATTGTATATATACAAGGGTAATTGTTATATAGGTGCTGTGTATTTTAAATGTGATTGGTTCATTCGTAGACACATGGCTTTAAATAAATGCAATTGTTGCTCGCTTCTTGTCATAAAAAAGTAAAGTGTTTTTTTTAATGAAATTGTTGTGTAACATGTACGTTTTTGTTCCTATATAACAAAACACTTAATGTACACTACCTCGGAGAAATAGTGAGTTTTGCTTTCCGACTCGATTTCGTCTCGAGAAACATTCAGACTCTTGCATGGGAAAACAAAACTCACTATTTCCCTCGGAAGCATACATTAAGTGTATATTGATGTATATGTACATGATATGAAGAAATACCTGGAAAATGGGATAAACATTTTGAAGAGATTATGAAAAAGGTTAGTAAAATAATGTATTTTCTAAGAGTGTGCAAACATCATGGGTTTTCTACGCATCAATTGGAACTTCTCTTCAATATTCTTATTCTCTCTCTTTTTTCACTTTTGGAGTTAAAGTTTGGGGTGGGGCATCGTACAACAAATATATAAGCCAGATTGATAAGTTTGTTAATCATGCCTACAGAAATGGTTGTGTTAGCAACAAATCACGAACAGAGACAAAAAGTTGTGGTCAAGAATTGTGGAAGACGAAAACAATGCTTCACATAAACTTTTACTTAGCGAGTTAAACCGCCCTTTACGACGGAGAGGCCATGAATTTGAACTCCCAATAGTTAAAACAGAGAGATTCAAAAAAGCTTTTATAAATAGATGCTTATTTAATTTTATATAAATTATCTACGCTTTTATTCTAGAACTTAGTTTATTATATCATAGTTTCTATTTATCCTTACTTTAGAGATTTTAAATTCAATACTTTTAATTGATGTAAATACTCATGATGATGTATGCCCAGGTAAAAATCTATGTAAATTAAAACGTTTGTTTTGAGTATTCTAATAAAGACTTTTGAATTGAATTGAATATTTTGAGAAACTGATTTTTAAAAAAATCATTATGCAGTGAGATGTCATTACTTCTGTAATTTGGATATCATACAAAGTTCAGTACCTTTTTAAAGAAGAAATTCTGCAAAAGAAGCTACTCTCTGATTTAAGTGTTCTTTATGCAATGGGTTGAAGCCGAATAAAGGGGTTCCTTCACAAAAATTCAAATAGCGGGTATTCAATGTATTTGATCTTGTGATTACATTCTATAAAGACGTTAACAAATTCTGAGGTGAAAAAATCCATGCAAAAGAAACAAAAAATCACCTCTAAATTAATTAACAAATAGACATTATATTAAAAATAAACTATTTGCCATATGAATTTGCCTCAACAAGCCGTCTCAATCATAATTACCTCTACCTCCTTCCCAATTTTCCTTCTTGCCCACCTCTACCCTGCGTCAATCATTATCAATCCCCATCAAAGCAGATCTAACATCAATAAGACTAGTTTGCTCTCAAAAAATTTCCCTGGAACGGACAGAGAAGTTTTATTTGCGTTTCATCTACTAAAAATCGATCCGCATTACCCTAAGTCAATCCCTATAAATCCGCATAGATCCTCGCCAAGCACATAGATCCTCGCGAACTATATAGACCCTCGTCAAGCCGCACTAAACCACACCAATTCGTACTAATGTCTTACTGATTAGTACTATAATGTCTTAATTCGTACTAATGTGTGACCAAGTCATGACCAGAAAACTCGGATAAAATCAACATTTGCGAAATTTCCATATTCAATTTTCTCAAATATTGCGCAATTCAAGAATCCGCAATATAATCTATAGTGCAGCAATTGAATTTATATTTGAACAAATATGCGAATTATTTACGGCAATCAGCATATTAAATGTCCGCGATTTCTGCCCATTGGATTAGTTCTGATTGAAAAAGAAACAAAAAAAGAGACATCAGTGCCCGACCGGGCACGTTTTTAGGATAATTTGCCACAGTGAAAAATAGCCTATAATCCGTGTCAATACTTATTTAAACTAATCAATCCTCGCCAATACGCAACAATACACAACAAAACATCCTCAATCCGCACTAAGGCTTGTTTCCAGCACAGGAAATTATCATCCGGACCGGATCGAACAAAATGGTTTCTCTTGTGTTGAAGACAATTAGCTTTAATTGAGAACACACGGATAAAAACCACTTTAATGTCCGACCCGGTCCGGAGAAGGATTTCCGTGACTTGCAACAAGCCTTGCAAAAACACGGAATAAGGAACTTCTCTGTCCGCTCCAGAGCATTTAATTTTCAATCAAAAGTTTAAGCTTCACAAGACACGTGAAACGGCAGTGCCAAGGCACAACTAATGTTTCTACATAAGAAAGGAGATATCATTCCGCCAAATTCCGCCAAGGAGTTCGGCCTTGCTGCTTGCCATTTCACGGAAACGCGAATCTTAAACTCCCTATCAGTAAAAACCAGCCCATAATCCTCTTTACTATTCGTCAATCCACACTAATCCTTGTCAATAAGCATTAACCCTCGCCATCCAGCATCAATCCACGCCGTGCTGGTTTCCACTCGGGAGAATTAATATTGTCGGCAACAGATCGGATTTAAAGGCCCTGTTACACGGTGCAATTTTTCTTGCAACTTGCAATGCAATTCTACTTTTGCGAAATGTATATTTGGGAAGAACGAAACTTTTGTTTTTATTACACTTCATGCACTTTTCTTCTGCAAGACTCTTCACTGGTTTACATCTCTTAGAAGTAGAATTGCATTTCAAGTTGCAAGAAAAATTGCGCAGTGTAACAGGGACTTAAAAGGTTCCCGCAACGTTTCAGTCAATCGGTTCGGATTGAAATAACTAAAAAAAGGAACTAAATCCGATCCGGTTTTGAGGACAACTTCTCCGAGTATAGAGACCAGCCTTCAATCGTTTTCAATCCTCATCAATCCTCACCAATCCACAATCGTCCCCAATTCGCATTAAACCTTTTCACCTTTAATCCATGTCAACATCTACCACCTCCTGCGTGCTTGCTATACAAGCTATTTGTCAACGGCTTTAAAAACCCACATTATTATTAATACCTGGTGCAGCCCAGTGAACTCTAAAAATATCTGGAGCGTTAATCCGCAGTCTTTCATATCGGAAATAATAAAGCCTTTCGAAATGGCCCTCTGAGAGGTTCGTATCTACGTTATTTGCCCAGTCTCACGATTGTCCGTCTTACAGGTAGAATTAGTGAAATAAAACTAGAGAGCATTTATATCATCGTTGTTTTGGTTAACAATACCAAAGCAATTACTCTCAGCTCAAAGGAGCGAAGATATTTTCAAAGTTCAAAAGTATCTTATACTACAGTATCTTAAAGTATCATAAAAGTATCTTATCTTATAAAAGTTACTTCTTTTCTATCCTACGCATGCTTAATTAAAAGGGATCGGATGTAACTTTTTTCGTTGGCCGCAGTAAGATCTCTTTGAACCACCATGCAGGCTTACTGCACTTTTAGACTGCAAGTTATCGCTCCAAATATTGAGTTTACTGGGGTATACGTATAGTTCTTGCTAGTCTACAGTAGTAACCAAATGAAAATGTTAAGAGAATAAAATAAATGGAAATATCCGTGCAGCAGTTTTCTCTCATCCCAGTGCATCGGGTACCTTTAAAATAGAACAAACTGCATATGTAGGCTTTTTCTTCTGAAATTTTCAAACGCAAGATCACGGTAATACACCCAGTTCATAGGGGATTATGGCTGAAAACTATATTTTAGACTGGGACAACAAATAACGGCTATTCCACCTTTTTTAAACCAAATAGACTGATGTATAATGACGTCATTTTGTGGTCACGCGAGTAAGAATATTGAAGTTTAGTTCGAAAATAAATATTCTAACTTATTTGTTCGACTTATTAATTTAAGCCAAATAACAATTTCAAAACATTCAACAGTATCCACTTTCATACATTTCTACACGCCGTGACCACAAAGTGACGTCATTATGCATAAGGTCCATTTCAAGCCGGGACTAGATTCAGGACTAGATCTAGTCCAAGTTAACTGCTTTTGTCGGCGCGATTGCCAATTAAGAAGACAGAAACAATAGAAATGGACTGCTGCTAGTCCTTCGATCGACATAAAAGATGGCGGCCGTCTTACAAGCAGTTCTGTTTATACAGAGCTCACTGGTCATATAAATTTAATGACAATGACAACAAATATATTTATTGCTTTATTCAAAAGGCGTCTAAAATCATCACTAAAATCTTGTTGCAGAGTTCCTGTAACATTTTTACTGATAGCAACGACTTGTCATTAATCGTCGGCATTTTTGATTAATCATTAACTCATTAACTTTCGCTTATATCGTCAGTTGTTGGGTTGGCTCATAAAATTTAACTTCTAAATTGCCGATTAAGAATAATAATGAAAAAAATAAATAATAATATCTTATTTCTATTAAATGTGGAATAATAAGTTGCTCAAAATGTTCCAAATTCATGCATTTAAAAAATTAAATTGCAACCCTAAACGAGTTTCAGGTTTCAGCAGAGGCAAGATAAAAAATTACGTGATCAACGTAGACCTGACGTCACCATACATGCATATCTGCAATAATCCGGACAAACAATTTTCTTTGGTATAAATAATATTAGTAGAAATAAGATCGATAGCATGAAAAATCTCTCACATGATATTTGTATAGTTATTTTAAGGGTTGTTTGAGATGATACAATGAAAAGTTGCCCATGTCTTTTACGGCCATATAGCTACGTCGCATCGAATGCAATTTAAAAAGTAGGCAACGAGATAGTAAACCTCAGGAGCAAACATTTTATTCTCTATTGCTCGAATTGCATTCGACGCAACAAAAATGCGACGTATAGCCTAAGCCTATGAGATTTAACGCTACGCGAGCTCTTGATGCCCAATGTTATATAAATCACAATTACATATTAATCATTTCCCTTCAAAATTAGACTTACCACTCCAATTCCGAACCCCCTACGAGCTCTTCTAGCCTGTGAATAACAATGAAAAGAGGTTATATATATATATATATATATATATATATATATATATATATATATATATATATATATATATATATATATTAACTTAACATTAGACTTACCACTCCATTTCCTAACCTCATATGAGCTCTAGCCTATGAATAACAATGGAAAGAAGAGGTTGATAACATCATTGAGGATTTAAAACGATTCGCGTTCTGGTTATGGGGTGATAATTCACGATTAGGGAATATATACCTACATATGGTCCAGTGAAGCTTGCCAAACAGAAGAAGATCAGTGTCTAACAAGTTTATCAAGACAAGTGCAAATTTTCCCAACATTCCACGGAAGGCTTAAATACATGATAATGGAACAAGCAGAGTTTTTTTACTTCTTTTATAATCTGCCTTTTATAAATTGGCCTGTTATATCAGTCATATTATAAATACGAATTAACGTACAGCAAATGGCAAGATGCAAAGCATTGGAAATGTTAATCTTGTTTGAAAAGCACAGTAGCAAAAAACAGTTACTGTATATAAAGCACATGCAAGAAACGCACGAGCAAAGACAGCACACTGTATCACTACAAGAAATACAAAAACCAACCATTATGGCCATAACACGTTGCAAAACGTCATTGCGATCCCTTTCGTCTTGGAGCTGAAACAAAAATAACTCATTTATAAAGGCTGCATAAATTTTCGCGCACCTTTCCAAAAATCAGAGTTTTGAATTTTTCCGATGTTCAGGCTAAACTATATAATTATTTTGAGTATCGATAGGCATAAAACTAATAATTATAATATATAATCAGGATATACATAAGCGTTCAATAAAACCGATTGCCCACTACCTCATTTTCACTGCAGTTTTAAATAGCCTACTACGCATGCACTGAACAGTGATGGACATAATGGACAAATTTGTCATAGTTGAGTTGCGCTTCTTTATACAATAGACCTTATGCGTAATGACGTACCGTGACGCCTGCAGGGAATTCTGGTTTTACTAGTAACGGCAAAAAATTCAAACTTCAAAATTTCCCGCCATGATTACTAAGACCAGAATTCCCTGCAGGTATCACGGCTTGTTACGTCATTATGCATAAGGTGTATTGCATTCGACGCAACAAAAATGCGACGTATAGCCTAAGCCTATGAGATTTAACGCTACGCGAGCTCTTGATGCCCAATGTGATATAAATCACAATTACATATTAATCATTTCCCTTCAAAATTAGACTTACCACTCCAATTCCGAACCCCCTACGAGCTCTTCCAGCCTGTGAATAACAATGAAAAGAGGTTAATAACATCATTGAGGATTTAAAACGATATATATATATATATATATATATATATATATATATATATATATATATATATATATATATATATATATATATATATACAACACCCGTTTGCAAAACGTTGGCCGCAGGTAGATATATAGATAGATACTCGAAATCTAATTAGAATTGCATATGTTGTGTAATATGATTGAAATCCCATGCAAATGTTATCATATGCAATTCTAATTAGACTTCGAGTATCTATCTATCTATCTGCGGCCAACGTTTTTGCAAATGGGTGTATATATAGAGATTACTTCATGGTTGGCGAGTGCGTACGATTTTTATGCACGAGTTGTGAAGGATCGCAAAACGAACGAGTGAGCGTAGCGAACGAGTGAGTTTGCGATCCTTCGCAACGAGTGCATAATAAAAATCGTACAAACGAGCCAACCATGAAGTAATTTGTTTATTATATAAGTATTGGATTTTTAGTAAAATTTAGCCCCGGATCAAGAACACAATTCAAACGTTTCAAAAACATATAATTCGCATAAAAGTAGCTACATTGTGATTTAAATTAGTGCAACAGTTTCCCCTCAATAATCGTAGAGTTGCTTCATGCAAATACCGTGTTTTAATTTATAAAATTCAACAATTGAATCAGCAATTGTTTTTTAGGCAAAGTTTAAATGAAACAGCGAATATTTCAATAAATGATATATTAAAAACGAAGTGTCACTCAAAGAATTAATGTAAATAGACAACGAGCCGTAACATTTACTCTGAATCAGAGTCGATTAATCGTAGTCTTTTGTATTTTTGTGGCGACACATTTTCTGTAACTGCCACGGGAGATTGATTTAAGCTGTTGATCGAAATCCTTATTTCACCCCCACGGATTACTGCACCAGAAAACAAAGCCATTGCTTGTTGTTGTTGTTGGTGCTGGTGAAGTTCGCTGACATCCGTATTTGGTGTGTATTCGGTAACACTTGTCGTACAGGGCACGGGGGACTCTTGGCATGTCGACAAATTCGCTAAAGCTCTAGACATTTTCATTTGCTGGTTTTGCGATACTGTTGAATAATTCGTGACGCTTTGCACATTTTTATGCCCAGATAGTTGAACTATGTCCGTGGGAGGAATGTCGTTGTTGGTTAAAGTCTGCATCATCGTTTTTCCTCCGCTATGATTGCTGATGTGTGGACCAAGGCCAGCCTTCTGAGCCATTGTTTTCATGAGCGAATTAAGTTTGTTCACGCCAATAGCAGACTTTTTGAACCAAACCTTACTGGATGAAGCCTTCTTGCAGTGGTTTATGGCAAGGTAAAACGGTGCCTCGTCTGTGTTCATTTCACTCGGTCGTTTTTCCGCGTAGAACTTGTAAACGACGACAGGATCTCTTTCTGCCGCATTTGAGGGAGCAGAATACATTTTTGGCGTGACTTTTCGGACATCTCTCAAGTTGTCGCCTGTACGTGTTTTTGTTTGTCGCTCGAAATACTCTAGATATTCAACTCCATTCACATTCTCGCGTAGTTTTATGTCGCCCCAGCACATATCTCTGCGTTCTTTGCAACCACGAAGGCCGAAGTGAATAGTGTTGTTGAACCATAGTGTGTTTATCAAAGCTTCGCCATTGGAAGTTCCAAAGAGTTCTCTCTCGTAAAGCAGTTTGACTTCTTCTTCACTCAGAGCAACTGAAGCGTTTAGTTTGTTGCCTTTTCCTTTTTGCTTGAGCTCTTTTTGTTTTGAGTGCAGAGCTTTTCTTGCACGTTCAAAACCCTTGTCCATCATGATACTAAACCCGTTCTTTTTCTTCAAGTATCTTTCGAAGCTAGCAAACATTGAGCGTAAGGAACTAGGTTCGTATTCTCCGTTGTCTTCCTTCTTTCGGACAGAAATGATAAATTCGCTGAGGTATTCGTTAAGTTGCTCGACGGATATGTCCTCGATTTTTCGCAATTCATTCTTCGACGATAAAAACTCTTGAAGAAGTCGAATGTCCTGAAGTGTTTTTTTTCTTGTATTCTTGTTCTCCTGAAGTTCAATAAATTCGCTTATAGATGGCGTGTCTGCAAATCGTGAAGCCATTTCAAATAAACCACAGCGTATTATAAAACGAAACTATTGTTGTTGTATTTGTATTTGTTGTATGCCCATTAGAGGCGCGAAAACACAATACGCGATTCTTCACTAGTGAAGAATGCCGTATGTCCAATGAAAAAGCTGATACGGCATTTTTCACTAGTGGCGAAGGCCATATGACCAATGATATCCTCAGAAATTTTAGGCATATCGTTTTTACTACACTATGTTTATTCCGAATAAAATCCAATACTTATATACATATATATATATATATATATATATATATATATATATATATATATATATATATATATATATATATAATATATATATATATATTAACTTCACATATTAACCATTTCCCTTCAAAATTAGACTTACCACTCCATTTCCTAACCTCATATGAGCTCTAGCCTATGAATAACAATGGAAAGAAGAGGTTGATAACATCATTGAGGATTTAAAACGATTCGCGTGCTGGTTATGGGGTGATAATTCACGATTGGGGAATATATACATATATATGGTCCAGTGAAGCTTGCAAAACACAAGAAGATCAGTGTCTAACACGTTTATCAAGACAAAAGCATATTTTCCCAACATTCCACGGAGGGCTTAAATACATGATAATGGAACAAGCAGAGTTTTTTTACTTCTTTTATAATCTGCCTTTTATAAATTGGCCTGTTATATCAGTCATATTATAAATACGAATTAACGTACAGCAAATGGCAAGATGCAAAGCATTGGAAATGTTAATCTTGTTTGAAAAGCACAGTAGCAAAAAACAGTTACTGTATATAAAGCACATGCAAGAAACGCACGAGCAAAGACAGCACACTGTATCACTACAAGAAATACAAAAACCAACCATTATGGCCATAACACGTTGCAAAACGTCATTGCGATCCCTTTCGTCTTGGAGCTGAAACAAAAATAACTCATTTATAAAGGCTGCATATATTTTCGCGCACCTTTCCAAAAATCAGAGTTTTGAATTTTTCCGATGTTCAGGCTAAACTATATAATTATTTTGAGTATCGATAGGCATAAAACTGTTGGGAATTTTCCCGCATATAAGACTAAGTAATACAGTAGAGTTACCGCTGATCAGGGGACAAGAGAGGGAGGCTCACAAAACGTTGTGTGAACGTGAGGTTTTAGAAGAGAGTTCTTTTGTATTGTTATTTTTTTTTTATGAGTAATAAATCATGTCTAAACAAAGTTGAGTTCATTGTCGGCTAACAAACAACATTCCCGACAAAGTGGCGACCCCGGCAGGATCCTTTTAATATCGAAAATCATTGAATATCGTACGTGAAACAATATCGTGTTTAGTCATAACTCAAAAGTGAAACCAGAGAAAAATCAATCGTTAAAGATGTCAACCGTGGACGAGCTGTTGAAAAAAGTGGGGGGTAGCTTCGAATGCTGAAATTTACGAGCGATGAGACCCCCAGTGTTTTGGGAATGAATAAACAAAAACAAATTGAGAGACATGTCAAAGTGTTGGAATCGTTAATCGAGGAAGTTCATGATTTAAAAGTGGAAGTTCAGAGAAAGAGAATTGAGAAAGGGGATGACCTCACAGAAGTTAGAACATGGAGCCGTGACTTAGAACAAACTGTACTTGAGTTTGAAAATGTTATCAGTGAAGTGAAACAGCAGAGTGAGAAACTGTGCGAAATTGAACTCCAGAAAGCTAAGGATAAGGAGAGAGGAATTGAAGAAGAAAAGCGTAGGAAACGTTATGAGGAAGAGATGGCATTCGAGGAAGCTAAACTAGAAATGAAACGAAAGTTTGAAAAGGGATTAGAGGAAGTTAAAATGAAGTCTGCAACCCATTGCAATTCTGCCAAGCTGCCCAAGTTAGTAATATCTAAATTCCAAGGAACTCATTTGGATTGGCAAAGATTCTGGGGACAATTTGAAACAGAAATTGACAAAGCAGAGATCAGCCCCATTACCAAGCTGTCCTACCTCAAAGAGTTGCTTATTCCTAAGGTCCGTGCATTCATTGATGGTCTGCCCTTTTCTACCGAAGGGTATGAAAGAGCGAAAACTATCCTAAAGACGCGGTATGGGAAAGAAAGTGAAGTTGCAAATGCCCATATGCAGAGCATTATTTCCTTACCAACCATATCTGGATCCGATGCAAGGAAAATCAATCGTTTCTTTGAAACCCTGGTTGCAAATACACAAGCATTAGAAACCATGGGGAAGCTGAATGAAGTAAAGGGGTTTGCACGAAGCACGCTGGATAAATTACCAGGCATACGGGCAGACTTGGTACGATCAGATGACAATTGGCAAGATTGGGGATTTGGTGAGATGGTCGAAGCACTGCGAAAATGGTGTGTGAGGAATCCCATATCAGAAGAAGACCGTAAGTCAGATCACAAGGGTACCAGCCATTATCAACAAAAATCTGGAAAGCTCTTACATGCCAAGCAGGAATTATGGAAACCAAGACCGTGTGTGTTCTGTGAGTCAACCCTACACAAGTCCGTAGACTGCGACCAAGTTGTGGACATTACATCTCGAAAGAAGATCTTGTTAGAGAAAAAACTATGTTTCAACTGCACTGGTGTAAAACATCGAGCATCCGAATGTCGAAGTAAAACAACTTGCTTTCGGTGTAATGCGAAACATCACACCTCTATTTGTGATGACCAAGGAAGTGCAACTAAACAAATGATGTTGGCTACTGGTAAAGGGACGGTGATATATCCAGTTGTTGTAGCGGTTGTCAATGGGATAAAATGCAGGGCCCTCTTGGACACAGGAGCTGGCAGTTCGTATATCTCTGCAGATTTGGTAAAGCTTCTAAGGAAACAGCCTTCACGAACTGAGTACCGGCATATTGATATGATGATGTCATCGACAACTCAGAGAATTGAGATCTATGATGTGATTGTGGCTGATGTTAGAGGAAAGTTTGAAATGAAAACCCAAGTAAGCAAGGTTGCCAAAAGCGTTCTCCTGTCCATACCCAATCCTGGTTATGCTAACATTCTATCCCAGAACCACCATCTACGTGGAGTCCAGATGGATGATGAAGACACCAAAGCTGAGTTACCCATTCACCTCATCTTGGGGGGAGGTGACTATTCTCGAATCAAGACTACCACCAAGCCTAGGTTGGGTCACCCTGGCCAACCAATCGCCGAGCTCACCGCTTTGGGTTGGACAATGATGTCAGCTGGAGAGGAAGTTGATTTCAGCAACGTTTATCTTACCAAATCTGCGGCTGCAGATTATGAAGAACTGTGCTCCCTGGATGTTTTAGGCCTCAAGGACCACCCGCAACATGATCAACAATTCATTTATAAGGAATTCCAAGAGCAATTAACACAGAGCGATGAAGGATGGTACGAAACGGGGTTATTATGGAAGCCTGGTCACAACCCATTACCAAACAACAAAAGAAACAGTATAGGACGGTTGTCTGGGTTATTGAAAAGGCTTCAAAGAGATCCAGAGTTGCTGACTCAATATGACGATATCATTCAGGATCAGAAGAATCAAGGCATTGTGGAGGAAGTCACTAACGATCCAGTAGGAAAAGAATTTTATCTACCTCACCGACCAGTGATCCGAAAGTCTGCCGAGTCAACAAAGGTGCGGATCGTATATGATGCATCTTCCAAGGAAAGTGAGAGCAGTCCCTCATTAAATGACTGCTTGGAAACAGGTCCGCCATTGCAAAATCTTTTATGGGACGTTCTCGTGAGAAATCGTTTTAAACCAGTGGCGTTGAGTGGAGACCTCAAGCAAGCCTTTCTTCAAGTCCGAGTTCGTGGCCAAGATAGAGATTCCCTAAGATTTCATTGGATCAAGGACAAGGACTTGTCAACTGTTGAAGTTTTAAGATTCACTCGAGTAGTTTTTGGTCTCGTGCAGTCACCATTCTTGCTGGGAGGGACCATCCAATGCCTTTTGGAGAGTATGCGTCAGAAGTACCCTATAGAAGTCGCGGAGATCGAGAAAAGCCTCTATGTAGATGACGTCATCAGTGGTGGAGAGACTACAGAAGCAGTTCGTGGTTTGAAATCAACGGCGGTGGAAATTTTTGAGCATGGGAAGTTCACTCTACACAAGTGGCACTCCAACAAACCAGATTTGGAAGGGGGGAGCCAGCCCACAGAAATTAATCAAAGTTATGCCAAGGAACAGCTTGGTGTCAAACTCGGTGAAACAAAGCTATTAGGACTCCCCTGGAACAAGGCAAGGGACACGATCGCAACAGTCTTTCCAGACAACACGCCAGTTACAACCAAAAGGGAAATGTTGCGATTTCTGGCTTCCATCTATGACCCCCTTGGAATCGTTTCTCCCATATCCCTTGTCGGTAAACTCCTCTACCGTGATGTATGTGATCAGCGTTGGCCTTGGGATGCAGAGTTACCACCCCAGATATTTAAGCGTTGGAGAAAATTAGAGAATGCCCTACCCAAACAGGTGGAAGTACCACGTAGCATCACAGCCTTTGAAGAACTGATTGAAGCAGTCCATCTCCACGCGTTCGGTGACACTAGTTCTGACGGTACGTGTGCAGCCGTGTACGCAGTTGTGCACCAGCAATCGGGAGTCAATCAAGGCTTAGTAGCTGCCAAGTCGAGACTTGCAAAAAAGAATTTGACTATCCCACGATTAGAACTTGTATCAGCCCACATGGCTGCAACCCTCGTCGACAATGTCAAGAACGCGTTGAGTTATCCAGTTACATCAGTTTTTGGGTGGTTAGATAGTACTACCGCCCTTTATTGGATAAAGGGAAACGGCAACTATAAACAGTTTGTTGCGAATAGAACGAAGAAAATCAACGCCAAGGATTACATTCAGTGGAGGCATGTCGGGACACACCAGAATCCTGCAGACCTTGGAAGCCGTGGATGTTTACCAAATAACCTGACCGAGTCATGGTTGAATGGACCAGATTGGCTGCCTTATCCCGATCAATGGCCTGAGGACATAGTTGCACAACCCGGTAAAGAGTCGGAATCTGAAGTTAAGTTGGTCAAGAATTTGTTTGCTGCAGTTGTAGAAGTCAAAGAAGAAGTGGATGAACTGCTGCAAAAGCACACTTTCTGGAAATCTGTTCGTATCCTCGGTTGGATAACCAGATTTGTAAACAACTTTAGGGCAACGCTGGGCAAGACTCGGAAACAAAGTGGTCCGCTGACAACAACTGAAACCGAAGCTCAAGTGGAGTTGCTCGTGAAGAAATTCACCGAAAGACAAATCGAAACGGAACAATTTAAGAACGATCAGCTAAGACTTAATCTTCAAAGAAACGTAAATGGTCTATTTGAATGCCGCGGAAGAATCCAAGGCTTGTATCCAATTTATGTACCGCCTGCCACGTTGCTCAGTGAGAAAATGATTGAAGATGCCCACGTCCAAACGTTGCATGGGGGAGTTGGGTTAACCATGACCCGGTTACGTCAGCGTTACTGGATACCAAGACTTCGCCAGTCAACAAAGAAAGTGATTGCGGGCTGTTACGGGTGCAAGCGTTTCCAGGCAACTGCCTATCATAATCCACCAGTTGGAAATCTGCCGCTCGACAGAACTGTTGGATCAATTCCTTTCGAAGTTCTTGGCGTCGACTATGCTGGGCCCCTTATCTATAAGATCAATAAGACGAAAGATGGTAAAGCGTACATCTTGCTCTTCGCCTGCAGCCTAACTCGTTCTATTCATTTAGAGTTACTTCATGACCAAACTACCGAGAATTTCATAAAAAGTTTTAAGCGATTCATAGCACGAAGAGGACGTCCGCGGAAAGTTTACTTGGACAATGGTAAAACTTTTGTTTCGGCTGCAAATTGGATCCGTAAGATAATGAAAGATGAACGTTTTCAAAACTACCTGGCCCATCAACAAATCGTGTGGCAGTTCAACTTGAGCAAGGCCCCATGGTGGGGGGGTCAATTTGAAAGAATGGTTGGACTTGTTAAAAGAGCGCTGTATAAGACGATCGGTCGGGCAAATCTAAGATGGGACGAACTCGAAGAAGTTATCCTGGATGTGGAAGTCACATTGAACAATCGACCTTTAGCTTACCAAGACGATGATATCCAATTACCGACTTTAACACCAAATGCCATGATGTTCGGACAACCTAATAATCTGCCGGAAGAAGATTCCAGCGAGATTGAAAATCATCCATTGAGAAAGCGAGCCAAGTACCTATCTCGATGCAAGGACGCCTTATGGTCCCGTTGGACCAACGAATACCTGCGAGGTCTTAGAGAAAGACATGATCTACGAGGTGGGGAAAAGGCAAATATCAAAATTGGTCAAGTCGTACTTATTAAGAATGACGAGCGAAACCGTGGCAAGTGGAACCTAGGTGTTGTTGTTAAACCTATTAAGGGTCGAGATGGTGTCGTTAGAGCTGTACGATTACGAGCCGGAAAATCATATCTCGACCGTACGGTCCAACAGCTGTATCCATTGGAATTAGAATGTGATGATCCTCCAGTGGAGAAACCAGCAGTTGTATTGAATGCAGAAGCCAGGGAGTTCCGACCAAAACGGAAAGCCGCACAAGAAGCCGAGAAGCTAATCAAGAACGTTGCCGAGTTTGAACTTGAAAGTTAACCATAGAACTCATAACTTAAGATGTTGTAGTTGTTCATATTTGATCTCTCCAAATCAAATAGGGGGAGAGTGTTGGGAATTTTCCCGCATATAAGACTAAGTAATACAGTAGAGTTACCGCTGATCAGGGGACAAGAGAGGGAGGCTCACAAAACGTTGTGTGAACGTGAGGTTTTAGAAGAGAGTTCTTTTGTATTGTTATATTTTTTTTTATGAGTAATAAATCATGTCTAAACAAAGTTGAGTTCATTGTCGGCTAACAAACAACATTCCCGACAAAACAAATAATTATAATATATAATCACGATATACATAAGCGTTCAATAAAACCGATTGTCCACTACCTCATTTTCACTGCAGTTTTAAATACTACGCATGCACTGAACAGTGATGGACATAATGGACAAATTTGTCATAGTTGAGTTGCGCTTCTTTATACAATAGACTTTATGCGTAATGACGTACCGTGACGCCTGCAGGGAATTCTGGTTTTACTAGTAACGGCGAAAAATTCAAACTTCAAAATTTCCCGCCATGACTACTAAGACCAGAATTCCCTGCAGGTATCACGACTTGTTACGTCATTATGCATAAGGTGTATTGCTAGTTCTATCAACTGGTCCCCGGGCCGGTGCAGAGCACCGTGCATACGAGGGTACTAATTCCGCCCGGAGATTAGGAATCATATCCGGAACCCGGGAGAACATAGCTGAATCAAAAGTTGTCCTGTGATAGACGTACGTTCCCGCACTGGTAATCGACCAATGCGACTGGTAATCAACGACGTTCTGATTGGCTAAGGCAGAAAGTTTGTAATTGAATGAGAACGTCAGCAATTTAACTGTTATTTCGTAAGCTTTTTTGTAAAACCGTTTCTGCTTGTTTCTGCAGTTTCATTAACGTTGTGCAAAATAAAACCACAGTTATTAGAATATACATGGTTTGGAGACTAGATGGAAGTACGATGCAACTCATTATCTATGTTATTGTCCAGGTTTAGGCAAAAAATGGTTCCTTATCCGTCACATGTCTATTGTATTTTTGCCCAACTAACTAATAGCAATGGCTTGGCTTAGCTCCTCAACCGTGACTTGAACAACATGTTAATTTAGAGCTTACTATTGGTTTATTTGTTCAAAATACAATAGACACTTGACGAATAAAAACCAATTTTTTTCATAAATGTTCCCCGACATAGTTAATGTCTTGAGTTCTATAGTACTTTTATGTAGTCTCTAAACCATATATATTCTAATAATTAACTGTGATCATATAAATGACTTTTTACCAAGCCATGTTAGAGTCAAATGGATTCGCAAGTACTAAGATTTATCATTTAAGAGAAGATAAGCCCTTTCCCACATTTGAAGCTGTATCAAGGTTAGCAGATAGCCAACCTGCAAAGAAGAGGTCATCAAGATTTGAGAGACCGAGGGTAAAAGGACATCATTATCAAATCAATGCTGGCTGTCGAAGAGCAAAATTGTACAAATGTGCTTTTCCTGCACATGGAAGGGACAACATTAACCACAAAACCGGTGAATGCAATGAATTCAGAAAGTTAGAAGTGTCTGGTAAACAAGAAAGATATGAACTCTTGAAGCAGATAAACGCTTGCTTTAAGTGCTATGGTAACTACAAGAAACAAGAGTGCCCCAATACCAACCCCTGTCTTTCCTTGGGAAGCAAGTCACATCACCAGCTATTATGCACAGCAAAGAAATCCCCAAGAATCCCACCCGAACAACCGGAAGTCCAGGACACCCACGAAGAGAAAGACATAGTAATGTGGTTCAAAGCGACACCCTAGCTCTTCACCTCATTTACCAAACCACCGTAATTGAAAATGGTAAGTCTGTAAGCGTCTTCTGCGTTGGAGGGTCAAATTCAAGCTACATTACTCATCGCGCGGCAGATAGGATCGGGGCAAAAGTTGTGCGAAAGTCAACCGACATAAGCGACATAGAGAAAACTTATAACACATGTGACTACCGTTTCATGATGAGAACCGTACCGGTAGGAAAGTTACCATCAATGCATTTGGCATGGATAGAATAACGGGGCCAGTGAGCAGGCACAATTCAGATGTACTGGCCAAATTGTTCCCCAATCACGACCCTGAGAACACCCAAAGAACGAGGAAGCGAGATGTGGTGCAAACCTTAGTATTATGAGCGGTGGACTGGGTATTTGCTCACAAGGAACACACCCAGATCATAAAGAAGAAACGCGTCATGACTCAAACCTGGAAACAACGATTCATGACATTCAGCTTGTAGGCAGCAACGCATTTCGCCCGCCTGGGAACTCACACAGAATTCACCCGTCAAGGATTGTTTTCCTACAGTTTGAATGAGAATGCTGAAGTCGACCATCATGTGTCTAATGCCACCAAGTTCAAGGGTGATAGGAGAGCGGACAAGGAGATGGAAGGATGTAATCGTTTTCGAAGTCACCCTCAATTTCAGTCAAAAGAAGCGAGGAGTACGAACTGGACCTAACCTGGTCTTCAATGATTTGCCTCTTGGATTGGTCAGTCCATTTACCTTGATCGGAAAGATATATTTACGAGAAACACGAGCCCGCAACCGTGGTTGGCCAACGACCATGTACAGCGACCAAGGCTCTCAGCTAGTGGGAGCTGACTGAGAATTGAAAGACGCTTGGAATAGCATCGATCGTGAAGTACTTCATAAGGATGGTGTCCAAAAGGAAACGACGTGGTAGTTCGGTCCGTCAGATCCGTGGAATAGAGGAAAAGGCGAGGTATTACTCAAAGCAGCCAAAAAGGCGATTAATTTTGCCGTCCATAACAAGTCTCTCGCCGCATCAGGATTCTTGACGATTTGCTAAGAAGCCGCAAACTTGCTCAATGAACGACCTATTGGTACGCTACCCGAGACAGATTCAATGCTGAACATTCTCACTCCTAATACCCTTTTTTTGGGTGAAGCCTGTGCGAAGAATCCTGGAAATAGGCAGCCTGACCGACAGCAAATCACTAAATGTAACCATTTCGTACAAGCTATCATGAACGACTTCTGCGCCAAACGGATCGAGTTGTGTGCCCCTGCGTTGGTGACCAGATATAAGTGGACCAAGCCCACACGGAACCTTCGACCCGGGGATATTGTCCTTATAGCCGACAAGAGTCCAATAAAAGGAGATTACCGATTAGGAATGATCAACGAAGTATTTGCTGGCAAAGACGGAAACGTGCGACGAGCATCAGTCAAATACAAGAACTACAAAGTTGGCGAAAGAGATCATGAGTATACCGGAAGCGAGGAAGTCGTAGTGTCTCGTAGTGTTTACCGCTTAGATCTTTTCGTGCCGGTGGAATACGATCAAGAAAAACATGAAGAAGATTAGTGGAGAAACATTTTTGATGGACGTCTCCATCTAGACTTACAATTACAGGAACCTTTGAAAGTATAAACAGTTTACATTTTGTTATTATAGTTAAGGCGATCGCGTCGACCCTCACCCTCCCGTTGTGTTGGGATGTTCAACTGCGGGGATTGCGCGCGTGATTCGAGCCTTCGCGCCAAAATTCGGAAAGGGAGAAAAGATGGCGGGGAGGACGATACGCCATTATCGTAAATAGACAAACAGCGTTTTTACCGACTTGATCGTGTTAAAATCTGTTTTGAAAATCGTGTTTAGCGTTATTATAGACTTATACCCCATTCTGGTACAGCATAATGCAGCAAAAATTGAACAGCCAATGTTTACTTTAGCTTTATGATGTACCGCTCACGAATGATGGAAACGGTATTAGCTATAATATACACGATAAAATATAATATAGACTGATTTGAGTTTTGTGTCATTTCATAATATAAGTTTAGGTAAGGTTAGCTCAGGAAATTGTACACTTGGTTTGAAATAGCGAAGGGTTGCTGCATGTATGTATTCCCAGTTAAAGAAAAAAAAAGACAAGATCGAAAGTCGACCTATGTACCTCATCATTTAACTCGCTTATTTGTTCCCGTAAAATTTCGTTTTCATCAGCCATGAAAGGGAAGACAGACTCAATCTAAAATAGATCAATACATACAGTAAATTATTAGAATCTAAAACCTTTGCATTAATATAGATTTTCTTTCCCTGCTCTTTCACTCTCTTCTTTTTAACCTCCATTTGCCCGTTTGTTTCACACTTAAAACGAAACGTATTTCTTGTGTTTATACTGTATACTCAGACGAATTATCTGTCAGACGGATTATTCGTCCGGTCGGATAATCTGTCCCCAGTGTAAAACGGGCTAATTTCAATCTTCTGTTCGTGCATATAACTCACACGAATATACCTCGTCGCCCGATCACATCAAATAAATAATTTATAACTCACACAAATAATTTTTGCCACCGCCTCTATATAATTATGCAGTATCTTTCGCAGGTTGCAACATTTGATTTCACCTACCTCTTGACGTAAATTCAAGTTTTGTTGCTCTAATTGAGAAAGTAGTTCTTCCAGATTCACTCTTTCCGCTTCAACCATTTGTCTGTGAAACTGCTCATCGGCAAAATCTTCAGCCAGAATTAAGTTTTGTTGTTGCAAAATCTCGCTTTCGTTGGCGATGCAAGACAAGACATCGCAGCTCTAAAAATGTTTTAGTATACGAGTATATATAGAGAGCAACGTCTTATATACGAATGCAGGGGAAAGAACATTAAATTGATAGCTTTGGCGGCACTTGGTTTGCCATCTCCATGCATACCATGCACTTAGTAAACAGTAAACACCTTTATACGTAAGGGTTTATTGGGACAAGTTCTTATACAATGACCTTAAACCACATGCACTACTTTTTGCGCCCTTCTTGCATGCTATTTGCAAACAAAGAAATTGCTTCGTCGCGGTGGCGACCTTTAGTTTAATTGTATATCTTCACGCCATAAATGCAGAATCAGGCGGTTCTTAAAAAGGCAATTCGTGGATAGTTTAACCTTTTATATAGCTACCTAGTCATAAAGTAACCGTTAACAGATCTGTGGCATTTATCTCGACAATTTCGTGGGCTTCAGCACTTCAACACTCGGTTCGCAATTACTGAGTCATTAATATAGGACGCGTAAAAAAGTTCTTACAAGTTGTCTCGAGTCGTCAAATGCTGCTAAATTAAACAACCATCATCCTTATACACAGCGCTCAGATAATATGGAATCACTTTTAAACAATTGTCATTTAAAAGTGCCACAACATGCTAATGATTGAGGAAAAAAGTTTTAAACGTTTTTAAGTTTTAAGAAAAAGCGGAACTCTCCTATAGTGCAACGGAAAGCAAGCATGCATTATGTAATTCACGCGCCACTTTTTTCAATTATAAATAGCGATTTAGCATTGACTTGTCGGCAATATGTGATTGTGGTAACAATTCTTTTACCCTTGTTCACATTCGTGAAGCAGGTCGACAAAGTGACGGTGATGTTTTGCTGCAATCTGATTCTTCTCTGGTCCTATAGCAGAGTGATTTTTAAGAATGAATCGACCTCATAATCGCTAACGCTAATGTTGAAACAACCAATCAGTTAAAGAAATACATCTCAACTAACCATTTAAATGCAACAAGGAAGGACAAAAGCAACCAACTTAAAACTAGTTCGACAAAAACTCAGACTGCATAAAAAACAGAAAGGCATGCAGCGGAAACAATTAAATTTCTACACCTAAGGAAAATTCGGAAATACACCTCCTTTGAAACAGTATAAAAACACAAAAAGCTTTGAAATGCCAGTTAAACAATCAAATATCTTATTTAATCCACGTATTTTTTGTGTAAACGCCGAGTGTCAAAGCTGAAACATCAGAAACCTCACGAAATAACCCGAAATCATGATATGATTGGACAACTTTTTACTTCGCCGACTTGAATTTTAATCCATACATATAGATCACCATACTGCATGTTGATATAAAAGCGGTTATATATATATATATATATATATATATATATATTATATATATAATATATATATATATATATATATATATATATATATATAGTTTACGGGCGATGTAAAGTGCTAGAGCTATAGTAATAATAGGTGTAGAATAATTTTATATATAATACATATAGCGAATAACTCTTATTACTGCAACTGTTCTAGGTTCAGCTCATAGACAAAAATATTTGCAACTAAATAAAAGAAAATTCATTTTTCTAGCTAACGATAAACCCTGTAGGTCTATTTTCCATCATCGCGGGTGTGTCTGGTGATCGCAAGGTTAATGTTATCGAAATTTAAAGAAAAAAACGTTTGACTAGTGAACCCCCTTAATTGAGCAATTTTGTGGGAAGTATATACAAATAATTTTTGCCACCGCCTGTATGCAGTATATCTTTCAAGTTGCAACATTTGATTTCACCTACCTCGTGCAAAGTCAAGTTTTGTTGCTCTAATTGAGCAAGACGTTCTTCCTCATTCACTCGTTCCGCTTCAACCGTTTGTCTGTCAAACTGCTCATCGGCAAAATCTTCAGCGAGAATTAAGTTTTGTTGTTGTAAAATCTCGTTTTCACTGGCGATGCAAGACAAGACATCGCAGCTCTAAAAAAAGGTAGTATACGGCATCTAGTAGAGAGCAACGTCTTATACATATACGCAAGGGAAAAAACAGATAGCTTTGATAGCTTTGGCGACACTTGGTTTGCCATCGCCATGCTATTTACATGCCACTTAATGAACAGTAAACATCTTATACGTAAGGGTTTAATAGGACAAGTTCTTGTACAATGACCTTAAATCATTCTATACTTTTTTTAGATAACCATGCACGCCGTTCTTAAAGAACGTAATGTCTATTTTCGACCCTTTATATACCTAATCCTGAAGGAATTAAGCGTTTACAGATCTCTTCCATATTCAGTTTTTGTATATGACAGTCAGTTGCATAAATCAGTGTATATAAATTAGCATCAAATATGTAGTATCACAACTGCCTAAAATATAGAGAAAAAACTTCTTGACGTTTCGACCTGAGGGCCTTCGTCAGGAGTTAGTAAGCATAACTTACTTAAGTTTATAACCATAGTAAGTATAACTAACTTAGGTTTATAACCATAGTAAGCATAACTTACTTAAGTTTATAACCATAGTAAGTATAACTTACTTAGGTTTAGAACCATACTAAGTATAACTTACTTAAGTATAACCATACTAATTCTCCTGACGAAGTCCCTCAGGTCGAAACGTCGAGAAGGGTTTTGTCTATTTTAGGCAGTTGTTATACCATATTTGATGTTAATTGTTTGAAGACGCTGCCACGCTGCTCTCTGGTTATATTGGAACGGGTGTATATAAATAGTATAGATTTTGTAAAATCTGAAAAATACATGCAGCCATGCGAAATTTCAGAATTACCAATGCCGCCAAATATACCCATCTTTTTTACTTACCGACGTTTCAAGCTGTTTCTTCTCTCTTCTTTCTTTATCCAGTTCGCTGAGAAGTTTTACGTTCTAAAAACACACAAAATCTCAGTAAGTACGACATTTAAATGTCGGATTTACTAAGCTAGCACGGCGCTTCCTACCTGCTCGCGGGGACTAGCTATATTAAATAAAACTGATTTCTTCCACCATTCTAAAGCGCAAATTTCGTATAATATACAGTAAGTCTTAATTGCGTTAATATTTTTGGCCAGGATTTCACTTGCTTAAAAAAGAATCATCTATGTAACGGTCCCTGGCTCCCTGCATGGGAACGTTTATTTGTTCATATATAGATGCATTCAGCTCTTGTGAGTTCTAATCTAAACAGTGATGTTACTACCTACCGACAGGGTCACAACTTGAAAATTCGCTTTTTGGATTTCTATTTCTGTATAACGACGTTTAAGTTCCTGCTTTTGTATTGATATTTCCCTTTCAAGTTCTTTTCTGTTGGCAAGCAACTCCTCTATCTGCTTCAAATGACCAGAATTTTTTTCTTTCTCTTTCTGCAGTTTTATAGACTCCGCTTCGGACCTTTCTCGACTCTCGTTCAACTCCCCTTCTAAACGCTTATTTTGCTCCATCCCTTACTTTACTTTCTCTTTCAATTCAGCAATCATGGCATCCTTTTCTACTAAGACTTCCCGGATTTTTGAAGGGATGTTTTCGTCAATAATTTCTGAATCTTTCTCGACCTGAATCAATGAAGTATATAAATCAATATAATTCAAGTGCACTAGTGACTAGTATATGCATGGATAGTGCATATCCCACTGCAGCAGTTTTTTTGCCAGGCTAAATTGATTGTCGTGCAGAACGAGCGTTTAAACGAACAGGCCCTATATATATATATATATATATATATATATATATATATATATATATATATATATATATATATATATATATATATATATATATATATATATATATATATATATATATATATACAGTAGGAGGCAAAAGTTTGAGTCCAGTGACTGTATTTTAGTGTTTTAGCGCAAAATATTAATATTTTACAGAAAACTTTGCTGATTTTTAAACATTGAATGAATCGCATACTTTACAACAACTAAATCAATTAAATTAACGCGCATGTTAATGTTGACACATGAATTACATGTCAATATTTAGTATGCCCCCCTTTTGTTTTAAAACAGCCTTTATTCTTGCTGGCATCGAATCCACAAGTTTTTTCAATGTCACAGGTTCAATACTTTGCCAGCATTCGTTGACCACTTGCCATAATTCATCTTGGCTGGTGGGTGCGCGTTTCACTTTTTCCCGCTTTAAATGGTCCCACAAATGCTCCATAGGATTGAGATCTGGCGATTGAGGTGGAAAAGCCATGAGAACGAGATCACCATTGTTCTCTTTCCTTCTTAAATATTTTTGGCACATAAGCGATGTGTGTTTGGGGTCATTATCCTGTAGTAAGACGAATCCTCTGCCACACAACCTTGTACCAGAAGGTATTGCACGTCTTTGAAGGATTGAGTGATACTTTTCTTTGGTTAGGATGCCGTTAATTTTTTGAAGATTGCCAACCCCAGCATGACCAAAGCAGCCCCAAACTTGTATACTGCCACCACCATGTTTTACTGTGGGTTTAATGCACGAATTTATTAAGCGCTCATTCACCCTACGTCGTACATAAACGCGCCTGTTACTTCCATAAATTTCAAACTTTGACTCATCGGTAAACAGAACTTTTTTCCAATCTTCTATGGTGTAATTTCTGTATTTTCTGGCCCATAGCAGTCTCTTTCGTTTGTTTTGCAATCTCAGCAAAGGCTTTGCAGTTGCCACTCTTCCATTAAGATTACATGCAGCTAGCCGCCTTCTTACAGTACGTTTGCTTATTGGTTTTTCACGTGTTCTATTAACTTGTGCTTGAATATCTCCAGCTGTCAATGTCCTGTTTCGTAAGGAAGTCAGTTTTATATACTTATCGTCCTTCAGTGTCGTCGATTTTGGCCTTCCGACCCTTGGCTTGCTTGAGTAGGAATTGGTTTCTTTAAATCTCTCCAAGGTTCGTTGGACTCCACCTTTTGAAATTCGCAATTTCTCTGCAATCTTACGATGGGATAACCCTTCATTACTTAATGCAACTATTTGACCTCTTGTACCTTCACTTAGTTCTTTTGCCCTGCCCATCTTGGCCAGTGTAGAGGAAGAAGAACTTCATTTTGTCATAAATAAGGTTATAAGGGCCGAAACAGTCCACAATTAATATGGTTTGCAGTAATGAAACACTAATACGCATGTCTTAACGCAAATACTTTGCTAGGATTGATTACTGCAATTCTAAAACGAATGGACTCAAACTTTTGCCTCCTACTGTATATATATATATATATATATATATATATATATATATATATATATATATATATATATATATATATAAAACTGAGCCAAAGTGAGTAAAACAAATTCTTTTCTGCATGCTATAGCTACATGCATCTTCTTTAGGCCCTGATTATATATGAGAGGCGGGACGAGACGTTTGCCGGGACGAGACAATGACCGGGATCTCGCCTTGCATATGTTTGTATAATATCGGTTAGCGCAGTGTTTATATAATACTGAAATCGGGATGATTTTTGTCCCCTCTCGCCAGGGCGGGATCCCGCTTTGAGCAAGCGAATCCCGTTTCAAGCGGGACGTTTTTTGTCATATAAACGCTCGACTTTGCTTGGCCGGGATAATATTACGCGGACATTGCATTATTTCATCAATATGGTAGGTGTATAGTAACTGAACAATATGATATTCCCGCAGGAAATACCCGTCCTGAACATTCCCGCGAGGAATCATCCTTCGAAAAATAATCATGTAAACGCGAAATGAAAAAATATCCCGTTCCACCTCTCATATAAACAGCGCTTTAGAAGCAGACTAGACACTTATACAGTATTGCAAAAGTCAACCATTCTTTTGTGTAAATGCTAATTAAGTAAGTTACAAAATGGTGTGAAATTCATACTAAAATACAGTCCGCATAACATTTCAAAGTTTTCACGCAGGAATAAAGAGTTTTCACAAATTTTCACACTTTTAAAATTTCGCGATTCATAGGAAATACTTGTGGAGGTAAACAATTCATTTCGATGGGCACTATAGGAATATAATTATCCGGGGTCTGATTATTTGAAAAGGTCTAGCCAAATGCTTACAAAATTATATAGAAGAGCTAGAACTAGCAGTAATCACAGATTAGTGATGTGCGTTCGGAATGTATTGATTTCGGTTAACGATCATTAACAAAAATGTTATCATTATAACGTCACAGCGTATGTGATTAAAAGGTTACCCGCAAAATGAGTAATTTAACAACAGTGATGGCTCATATGCTTTAATTAACAAAAATTCAAAATAGAGCGAGCACATGGTCTCCAGCTACTATAACGACACATCAGAACGAGGCAAATGTCGATGTGACACGGCTAGGAAGCTAATAGAAGTTCTCTTTCGTCGAACGCCATAAAAAAACACAAGAAAAACTCACCAACTCGATTTCTTTGACTTCATTATTGCTGGTTGTTGCACCATCATCCTCTTTCTTCTCTGCCTGATGATTTTTAGAAGGTCAATCAAATAATATAATAATTACAGTAAGAAATTATATTTATATCCTGTTGCTGTGGCGTGCAAATTGCTAAGAAGTTCTATATTGGTAGGCGCATGCATTAAGGGGTGCAAATTAAAATCAAATTTACCATCCTACCATTAAGTAACTATTTAACTGTAAGATTTAAAACATATATATCATATTATAACTTTTTATTAATGAAATTAACTATAAGATTAATGAAAACCAGCCTTTGGTTGCTCATTCTATACAAATGTAGTAAAGCTTTGCGAAATACTAGAGAGTGCTCTGAAATTCCATATGGATAGAGCAGATATAAAAGTATTGCTTATCAAATATAGTGGGGGTCAAAAGTTTGAGTCCAGTCAATAATTTTTCTTAATTTAAAATGTACATGTGTATGATATCTTGTAAGTTAGAGATAGGATATGTTGATCTGAACTTGCATATTTTATGGTATTAGTAATGCCTCCCATATGTTTTCTTGTTATAATTCTTGTGGTATTCAAGTTGTATAAGAAATGCAGATTATTATTTTTGTGGATCAACGATGACAAAGAGAGGGCCAACAATGATGGGATATGTCTTGAAAAATTGCAAAAATTCAGGTGAGGTTATATGTGTCAAAGGAAAAGTTAGAAATGTTTTTGTGAATCAGGTTTGTATTCAATTAAATGAAAATCTGATAGACCAAGAGCTACTCCTGAAAAGAAGATAGAATGAAGAAAGTAGAAGGAAAATCATTGGTCCGTCCATAATCAATGTTCGAATAGAGTTGAATCAGGTAGTGCTAAAAAAACTGGTTAACTCTGAGTAAGAAAAAATCAAAGCTGTTTTGAAACGTAAAATATATATTATATATTACAAAATCATATAAAAGAGCTAGAGTAAAAAAAAAACATTAAGAAATTAGCTCACCATTAGTTGATCAACCAACTCAATATCCATGACTTCAGGATGGCTACTTGTTGCACCATCATCCTCTCTCTTTTCTGCCTGATAATTTTCAGAAAGTCAATCAAATAATGCATGTAATAATTATGTATAAAAAATTTAACTACATCACCTATTGATTTAATCTCAGTCAAGCTTGAGATGATCATGTTTAGATGTTAAATTGAATTTGAAAATCCATTTTCATGAACAAAAACCTGGTTTTGTCAGTTCTACTTACTCATAGACATTTTGATCTCATATTTTTGTTTATTTGTTTTAAATCTCTGAGAACTAAACTTTCAAAAAGTGTTTTAATTTATTCTTTATCACTCCTAGCTATGAATTTCATTGTTTGTTGCAATATATCTTGCTCTGTATATAAGTAGCATTAATAAAACAGTCTCCCTTTGGGACATTTATGTTCTGCTATCAGGTACAGCTTGGCTACATATAGGTTAATAATTGTACGTAACATGCTACCATATACAGTGTGACCCAATTCCAAAGAAACAGAACCTGCATACATATAATGCTGTTACTAGAAGAGGTTCCTATACGTTTGGATCAATTGTTTTTCTTAAATAGACTTAGAACTGTTATAGTAAAAAAAATAAATCCCAAAGGCACAGAAATGTCAAGTTTATTAAACATATGAAGTGTCAACAATCAATTCTGATCACAGTAAATAATTGTTCCAACAAATGCATAACAATTAATGCAGGACACGCTGTATATCATAGCAAAAATCCAAAATGTTTTAAATGGAATGTATAGGTACATTTGGACTTAACTCTATTAATAACCACAATGGATATGAACCTTCAGCATAAAAAATGTCCATTTATTAGAAAAGACTGGCTAATATTTGGCCTGCCTCCTCAAATATAAAACTAAATAAAGCTGTGAAAGGCTATTATTTTTGTCCTGTATACATATATAATAAATTTTGTAAGCCTACTTGTATGAATTTTAAACCAATAATTAGAAATGTACTGTATGTATGTTGGATAATCATCCTGAATATTAGAAAAATTAATTGTCAACAAGTTAGGGATACAATTATAGAATACCTGGCTAATATAGTCCATTATTATTATGTTAAATATCTGTTAGAGGATCATTTTTTGAGTATAAAACATTAGAACTGCCCCAATTGATTAAAGTAACATATTAAAGACAAGGTAGACCTATATAATAATGGTATTAACTGTTTATAAGAGTTTGATATTTATTAAGTCGTTGTAACTCGCTGAATATATATGCGGAATCCGACATTATTATGAAAATCGAATTACATGATTACAAATGAGCTAATATGTGTGAATTTAGTAGGGCGATTTGTGTAGACCATGTAAGTATAATTTGTGTAATGACGTTATATGGAAAACACTGACTCACTGACACTGAGCCTCGAGCTGAGCCTTATATTATATGAAGGGAACTAACTGAACTAAAAAGTATTAAAAAGCAATCCAACCTGCAGGAAAGGCGAAGCCATCTTTTAAATCATTTCTGTTGATAAACAATGCCCAAAGGAACGTATTACTGTTGCGAATTACGGACTGAACAGTTTACTTTAATTTGCAGTTCGCTACGTTCACACGAGGGTAGCCGAGTTTCTCCCGAGTGTTACACCCACTATTCATCCACTATTACACTGATTACACCCAAGTGTACGGCTATGTACGACTATATCCCGACGACACGAATGTTTTTACACGACTTTAAACACGTGTCTCTCACGTTTTTGAAGGAACGGGGAATAAGGAAATCAACAAGGGCAGATTTCGTTCTAAGCCAATCAGCGCGTTTGTTGACATTTTTGCCCTCCGCCAATCAGAATGCTTGAAATAAAAATTGTAAACAAAAGGAGCGAGAAAATATTGCCGTATTCTAAGGCATCCGTGAGCCAGAATATTTACTTTTTATATTCGAAACCGAAAGAATGCAATAAAACATAAATATAACTTGAATTTTGCCGTGGGGTTTTTTAAATTTCAAAACATAACGTGAAATATCGACGTTTGAATTACTGCAATGATCGCGCTCTATGGCTGCAATATATCGTTAAACCGGATAAATCATTTGGGGAATAATGTCGGTTTCTTCTCAGGATTCTTCTTTCCGTCTCATGTTTTCATTTCAGTTCTGGATAATGCTACTTGGAATGAGTTGGATCTTTGGGACAATGAAAACACCATGATATAAATGATAACCATTGTTCGGAGCTTGCTAAGATGTTTTAATACGCTCATTGGACATTCTGTCAGAACATATGGCATTGTTTATGCAATAGTAGAGGTTCACAGCACCAGCATCCCTGCATATCACCTCAAAGGCATTGGGATCCATTTCTGGTTGGGAAAAATTACCAATGCGAGACTTGATTTTTCTAAGATCATCATGCACTGAAATTGGGGCAAAATGATGCTTTCTTGAGCAGTGAAGAATAATCATCTGCAGAGAGAAATACACTGTCAACTGTTTGGCACTCTTTGTCTGCAACATCCAATGTCTTTCCTGTATAAAAATCTTGACTGTCGATGGTATTTGCTTGGCTGCATGGGTGAACTTAAAGTTATTGTTGTTGTGTCACTTGTTTGGCTGTATGATGTTTCTTGGTTAAGTGCTTGATCTTCTACATTATGTTGACTTTCAGCATGCTTTATAGCCACCGGCCTGGCTATTAGATTGTTCTTGCTTCTCATTATGATATAAATTATATAAGTAATCCTATACACCTCCCTTCCACCCTCCAACATGCCCTTGTTAAGGGAATCGGGAAATCTGCCCTTGTTAAGGGAATCGGAAAATCGGGAAATAAGGGAATCGGGGAATGGAATAATCGGGGAATGGGGGAATCAGGTGATGGAGGAACTCGGGAGCGGGGGAACTGGGGAATGGAGGAACTGGGGAGTGGGAGGAATGGGGAACAGAGGAATGGAGGAACTGCGGAGTGGGAAAAATGGGTAACAGGGGAATGGAGAGCAGGGGGATGGAGGTACTGGGGAGTAGGGTAGCGGAGAAATGGGGAGCGGTAGAAGAGGCACCAGGCAACCGGCGGAACATGAGAATGGGGGAACAGAGGAACAAGAGAATGGGGGGACCAGGGATGAGGAGTGGGGAGAAAGGAGAATTTCTCTGTGGCTCTGTTCCCCAATTCTCCTGCTACCCAGCTCCCCCATTCCCCTGTTCTCCTACTCCCCAGTTCCTCCAAAGTAACACACAAAAGTAACAAAACTGTTAATACTAGAATTTATATTATTCATTTGGATCTGATCACAATTATACATGTGTATAATGTATTATATAAAACATCATGATTAGGAAGCAAAATGAAAATTATATACACAGAACAGCTAGTTTCTTGAGCAATGTTATATAAAACAGTGATGGCTCATATGCTTTAATTAACAACAAAATGTCAAAATAGAGTGAGCACATGGTCTCCAGTTACTATGACGACACATCAGAACGAGGCGAATCTCGATGTGACACGGCTAGGAAGCTAGTAGAAGTTCTCCGTCGAACGCCATAAAAAAACACAAGAAAAACTCATTAACTCGATTTCTTTGACTTCATTATTGCTGGTTGTTGCACCATCATCCTCTTTCGCCTCTGCCTGATGATTTTTAGAAGGTCAATCAAATAATATAATAATTACAGTAAGAAATTATATTTATATCCTGTTGCTGTGGCGTGCAAATTGTAAAGAAGTTCTATATTGGTAGGTGCATGCATTAAGGGGTGCAAATTAAAATCAAATTTACCATCCTACCTTTAAGTAACTATTTAACTGTAAGATTTAAAACATATATATCATATTATAACTTTTTATTAATGAAATTAACTGTAAGATTAATGAAAACCAGCCTTTGGTTGCTCATTCTATATAAATGTAGTTAAAGCTTTACGAAATACTAGAGAGTGCTCTGAAATTCCATATGGATAGAGCATATAAAAGTATTATAATGTCTTCCATATGTTTTCCGTTTGTAATTCTCGTGCTATTCAAGTTGTATAAGAAATGCAGATTATTATTTTTGTGAATCAACGATGACAAAGAGAGGGCCAACAATGATGGGATGTCTCGAAAAATTGCAAAAATTCAGGTGAGGTTATATGTGTCAAAGGAAAAGTTAGAAACGTTTTTGTGAATCAGGTTTGTTTTCAATTAAATGAAAATCTGATAGACCAAGGGCTACTCCTGCAAAAGAAGATGGAATGAAGAAAGTACGCGTATGTTGGATACCTAAAAAAATTTAAACAAGTGATCGAAAACTCAACATTGATTTTTTTATATAAGATGCAGCGTAAATGTTTAATAACTAAAGAGATCAAGTAAAGCGGTGAAAAACAAATCCCGATAAAAAAGAACATATTGAGAGTCAAAATATGAATCGGAAATAACACAGGTTGAAACAGTAGATTTTCGATTTTATTTTTATTTTTTTGGTGTAAAGGGATCAAGTGTGCAAAATATATTAGAGTGTATTCAATCGTTGTGCCTTTTGGCCAGGATTGTGCTAAAAGTTGAACCATGTTTTTAGTTTTTACTTTTATATGACCCATTATGCAGTTTGATGTCATTAGTTGTGTTGTTTAGAGATCTTACAAAGTTTAATATTTTGATGACGAAGAAAATTAACAAAGTTGCACAAAAGAAAATAATTTATTCAGTCTTCCAAAATTTCCTTTGCAGTGCAACCAGAAAAGTAAAAAGTCATTTGTGACGGGTTTAAAAAACTATCCGTCCAGTATTTTTCTGGCACAATACTGTGCGTATTGAGGAATTTGTGAAATGAGAACCAATTGTTCAGCCTCATTTGCAATATATCCCGTAGATGAAAACTCGTTAACTTTGTTAAGGCGATTCTCCATTACCGTCCGCTTTACCCGCGCGGGCGTAGCGGCCTTTGAAATTCTGCCTATGCGACCGTGACCGGCCTGAAAAACAAAGTGCGCTTCGCCCGCGCGGGCGGAGCGGATGTAATGGAGAATCGCCTTTAGAACTTGCGGTATTAATTTTATTGCAGCAAAATCATTTACAGTGGACAATATGTATTTATAATTTAAAGTGCCTATATCACTTGTGGGATCTTTACGGATTTGAACAGAGCTTGAAAAATTTGTTTATAAGTTCCACACCTTTTTTGATATAATTAGATAGTTTCGAAAATACGTCGGTTGGGAGGACTGGGACTTAGGAATGATTTGCAAACACGCCGTCTTTTATAATGTAAACATGAATAGTTTCATTGGCCTTATAGTTTGCGCTTTTCAAGAAAAAAATGCGGGAACGGTGCGTTGTGTATAGCTGTAGCAACTGGACAAGTTTTTCTCAAATTATTTTACGTTATTGGAAGATGGAAGTAAAATTAGAATTGATTATATTATGTTTGACAAGAACTGGGTTCCTGAGTCCCAGGCCCCCGAGCACGACGGAAATCGTCATGTTTAGATGTAAATACTTCCGAAACTATTTAACTATATCAAAAAGGGTTGTAGAACTTATAAACTAATTTTTCAAGCTCTATTCAAATCCGTAAAGATCCCACAAGTGATATAGGCACTTTAACTGACTATTTTTAACAAGCCAAGATTTATTAAAAGAACATATACTAAAATATTCAAAGTTGCAAGGGATGGAAAATGTAGCTATATATGGCAGTATTTATACATCAATTGTCCATTAGACTCTGCGCTTTTGGAAACACAGTGTATATATTGCAATTATTATTCACAGGATGTGTGTTCGGTAACACAAGAAAGTGCATTTCCTTACACACCAAGGCGTGTTTCCTTCCTTTCTACTCGAAAAAATATCGTGTTTACAAAAGATGCATTAAATTTAGATACCAAGAAACTGTACTGGGCGCACAAAATAACCATGGGCTAGAGGAGTCTAATTAATGTATATAAAATTATATATAGGTATAAAGGAGCAGGGCTAGGAAAATAGAATTTTTTATAAGCATCTAAGAAACTCCAAACAAAGTAAAAATAAAATAAAATAAAATGAAATAAACATCTAGCAACTCCCAGTTGGGCTATGCTTTGAAGACTTGTGTTTTAGATATAGCTAGCTGTGTTAATGTTTTATGTCAATTCCTCATTGCACTTCATTGTATGGATTAGAAAATTGGGCAATTATACAGCCGATCCCAAAGAATATGGACGTTACTGAAATCACCTGTTGTTAGGCTTTCGATGGCCAAGCATCGTAAGTGCTCCAGAGTGTCTTTGAAAAAGGACGCCGTTGAAGTTACCTGCAGTTGGTTCAAATTTGAATGGGCTAACACTAAAAGCTCACACAGACAAGATGCAATTTGGCGACGCGGCGCGTTAGTCAAAGTTTATAAATTTTTATTTTTGAAATGCGAATAAATTTTTAACTATCATAGTATTCTTGTAGATTACTTACTTACTAACGATAAACCACTGCTCTTGGCGTCCATAGATTCCAAATTTTGCTTCCTGAACTTAATTTATGTGCTTCTGAAAACTGAGAAGTTCGCATCGCGTTGCCGCATCGCGTCCGGTTTGTGTCGACCTGCATGCCACGCCATTTACTCGCCATTTTCACGTCGTCATTGACGTTCACGTCCTTATGCTAAATCTCCCTCTAAAATTGCATAAAACGTCTCATAAGAATTGAAATTCATGTATGAAACGCAAAGATGATTTTCAGAATTGAGGTGGTTTCATAACTATGCAATTGTTCGTTTATAATAGTTTTATATAAGAGTTTAGTTTTGAGTTAACCTGTATATGGCGGCATAGCTATACAGGGTGTATAAAAAAATTCGAATCGAAATTTTGCGTGTAATAATGCGAAATATATTTGACAAATTTGGTTGACTTTTACACCATTGTGAAGTTCGTTTATTTCTCTTTCCAATGACACGTTGTACGTGTGATTTAGTTGAAAAGTGAAGGAGTACTGGTTCGACAAAAAAAGTTCATAAAAATCACAATTTTCCGCCGATGGGAATTGCACGTTTGTCTTATTGAAAATTAGTCCCAAAGGGCTTTAAAATCTAGTTATTACTGAAACTAAAATGCAAATTTATCGCAAAAACTCTGCTTTGAAGAACACAATGCCTCAATTAAGCACGGAACAACGAACATTTATTGATTAAATTTACATTTCTTTTGTCTGGAGGTCTCACTTCGAATTCCCATCGGCGGAAAAATTTGATTTCGAGCAACAATTTTTAAAAGACGATAACTCAGCCAATTTTGGTCGTGTCGATATAAGAACGGTTAATCGTAAACTAAATAAGCTAATCTTTGTTGCCATATAAAAATTATATCGTTTATTTTAGTATTTCATAAATTAGTGCACTAGTGCTGGATCCACCCCTGAGCCTGGTGCACACAAGAGGAAACAACTGAGCTGAGCGTCACTCGTGACTGTTAGCTGAGCTGTTTCCTCAAGTGTGCGGCGTCGTATTCTCGCTGGCACGCGTGCTATCGGCGTCGGATATTCAACATGTTGAATAATTTTGTGCACGAGTTAACGATCGCCTCAGCAGCTGGAGCGAATGCGCGTGTGTTCTTTTCATACTTTGAATTATTTTTACAACTCAAGTGGGCGCAAAATAACCCAATAGTTGCCGAATCAGGACTGGAAAACGAATTAGCGGATTTTTGACCCAATTATCCCTGTCTACAGGGTGTCTCAAAAAAAATGAAAAACTTTGAAATCACCCATAACAATGTAATTGTTAGAGTTTGAATGCCTAAGCACTCTGTTGGGACCCACAAGTGTGTAAATGTTTGATATAAGCATTTTTATGCATGCATTTGATGCATTTTAAATCTCAATCACCTTCCGGCTTCGACATGTCCCCTTTCTCCAGCAACACAAAGCATTTAGCATTTTACTGAGTTGCATTAAATCCCCACGGGCTAAAATTCGTGCACACGACATTCAAATTTTAACAATGAGTGATTTCAATGGTTTTCGTTTTTTTGAGACCCCCTCTATATGAGGTAAGACTTAACCGCACCGACTGAGTAAATGGGTCACTCAGGGCACCTTAAATGATTTGTTAACTGCTTAAAAGTAATGAATGTAATGCTTCTGTATGTAATAAACTTGTTTGAACCAATTATTAAATAATTTTACGCGAGTATCATTCGCACCAACTGCTGAGCCAATAGCTCAGAACGCACGCACAGTTTGAGGAAATGTTTACGCGTGCACAAAATTATTCGGCATGTTGAATAAGTCAGTGACGCCAATAGGACGCATGCTAGAAAACCGCGCTGAATACGACACCGCGCACTTGAGGAAACAGGTTCGTATATATAAAGCGAATTTAGCGTTGGAAATACAGTATTGTCCAGAAATAACCTAACAAAAACCACTGTTAACTTAGATTAAACATTGAACCGCGGTTAAACCGAGGTCAGACTGCGGTCGAACCGCGGTGGTGAGACCATGGCTGAACCTCAGTCGAACCTCGAATATTCGGAAGCGAAAGACATCTTTAGATAATTAAAATTCATTCTACTTTAATGTTTAGACTATAATTTATAACATATATAACTTATTTACTCGTCGTATTTGTGCGGTAATTTTTGTCACTCTGAATTCATTGATTTTAGTCCATATAATAAACATTACAATACACGGTTCCGCTTGAGGATATGGATTTTATGTTCTCGTGTCAAAAACAATGTCTCACATATTGTTTTGGCCACTCGAACATATATATATAGTCCATATATACTCGCAACCGTGTAATATCCTAAATATACTTTACACACTCAAATGTAAAAAATGAACACTTAAACTCAAAATTTTCAAACCAAGTAATTAATGACTTCGAAGGCCGTGCATGGAATGACCGCTCTATTGATATATGCAAAGTATTACCTAAAATGAACGCTGACGCTTTCAATAGCACTATGCTCATCATGAACTTTACTGATCAATATACGAATGGCTATTGACGCGGCGGCTATACCTGAAATCCCCAAAGCACTAATGACAAATGCGTCAAATTCATTCTGAACACTTTTCTTAAGGCTATATGTCGCGTTGCCGCTTCGCGTCCCGTCTGTGTGGCCCACATCCACTTGCGATTTGATGTGCGATTTTCTACTTTTGATTGATGTGAACGAGTACAAAGTTACGAAGGCTCTGATGTAAACGAGCCAGCGAACTCTAAATGAACTGGAACGATAACTCGACTGCCATCTTTGAAGCCAAATTGAAGCCAAAATTGTACCAGTGCCAATCCCTTTGTATTGTTTTTTCTTCGTGGTCGATGATCGCGCTGATAAAAACAATGGAAACGGACTGGCACTGGTACAAAATTCGGTTTCAAATTGGCTTCAAAGATTGCGGCCAAATAAGTAAAATAACTCTTACGGTTATCATTCCAGGCCGTTCATTGAATTCAGTCAGTTCACTGCTACTGGTCCTATTTGAACATCCGTGACTATTTCCCTCGTTCACATCTACCGGCCTTGAAGCCGTTTTTGTATGTGAGGTTCAAACAGATAAAATAAACTCCTAAAAATGTGACAGACCAATTTTTATTTCTATTATTATAATAACTCAACAGTAACTGAACGAAAGAACAAAATTAATATGAGCTAGTATTTGTATGCACGTCAAAGAGCATGTAGTTATAGTTTACTGCATCTGATGGCCTTTTAATAAGGCGTTGGGTTTGAATGTTAAGCGACACAATATAGATCGCAATACAATTTCAAATTTGATTCTGAACATAGAAGTGGCACAGTATTAACTGTTATTTACCGCTAGGCAAATAATGGGCCTTTATCCAAAGAATAAAACCGCATTTCAAAAAAAAATAAGAAGAACTCAAGAGTCTTTATTAAAGGTTAGTTTGAATGATGAGGGCCAATTCAAGCCACAGCTGCAACATGCACGCATAGCTATATATAAAAAGACTTATTTTGTTATCGACTTATATCAACCAAAACTGCCTTTGAGTTCAGTTTGAGGAAGACGAAAAACGAGCGAAGAAAGAATCTAAAAGATGTTTAAGGTATTTTAAATTAAACAATGGAAAGAGGCTAGCATGGACTGGTACCAATTTCGGTATGTGTAATGACCAGACGCTCGCTGAAGATCACCGTATTAGGTTTGTCTCGCAAAAGTTGTGGCGCGCTTATTGAATCTTGGGCCAAATTTCCATCGCGATGCGTGATTTGATTTTGCTCATATGATACGGCAATTCCTCGGCCATGAGGCACGAATATGAATGCTGTTCGATTAAGTTGAGAATATACTGATATAATACACGCATGTTGAATTTTGAATAATAGCGCGTTCACACCTCGCACACATTGAAGAATACTATCAAGTACTAACCCAGTATGAACCATTAGCTACATTCGTTTAAGGCATTACATATAATATACACGCTAATATAAACTATAACAAAGCGTGGTTTTAATAATTATAAGCACCAATTTGAAGGTGTAAGACGATGAAATGAAAAAAACTACCTTATTCAAACTTTGAGGCAGCAAAAGATGTAATTTAAAAAAGTTTTAAAATAGTATGCAGTTATGCTGATGTGAACAAAATTTTTCGATTTGGCCAATCGCACTTTTATCAGTTTACTTTTCTTGAACTCGTTCGTGCGCATCACTTACAACAGAAAATCGAGATTACGCGTTTTTTGCTTACACCGCTGAGAATTAATATTTTTACCACTACCTAAAACATTGCCGGACTATTGAACGACCACCGGTATCGTCGTATAGTATCGATAATTCAGAGGGGATATTCATATTTTCAAGTTCTCAGGCATGATTAACCCCTTTTAAAATCGATTATCTTTGCGGTCTGTTAACATGCATGTATATTCGAGTGAAGTATACATGAATAAGCCTTCCAACTCCCCTCTCAATTATCGAGGCAGGCCACGGCAAAGTCCACCATGCATCCCATGACATTGACTTTGGATTCCGCATTGTTCGGCCACCATCGACACCAACTTGGGGATTAGGACTTTTTTATGAAAAAGAGGGTTTTCAAAACTTCTTGGGCCTGTTTCAGGCGTCGATCTTTTCATGTGCCGAACCTAATGTTAATGAGATACAGTCTTTGTTTCGGTTCAGTTGTATAAGTGCATTCGACTCATGAAAAGTTCGACGTCTTATAAAACAGCTAGGGCTTATTTGTATCTGGTACCTAGGCAAGAAAATGAGTCTTTATAGGTCGTATATAATGACATTTTTCTAAATAGTCTCAAAAAATCTTGTCAATAAGTAAATAGTATCAGCTTGCATGAATATGTTATTTAGTGTAATCTTATGTGTTTTATAGATCGGCTTGTTATCTATACTTACAATGGCAAGCTTCATACTTACACATGCGGGAAAACTCGATGAACATTTTTGGGACTATCACAGCGAAAGTTATGTCCCAAAGAGGTATAATTATATGCTAAAAATAACACAAAAAAGAGAAACATACATTTAAACAAATCCGTTCAAATTTTTATCCACTTTTACCGTTCGAACAACTCGGGCCGGTTGTTAGGAAAGAAGGTTAGCGCTATCTAGCCTTCGTACAAACGGCATCGGCTGGACATGCATGGGCTGGATGAATTTGAAGCGGTCCCAAATGATGAACGTACGATCCCGTGTGAACGTACGAATTTAGAAAACACAGGGTATACTCAAATTTACCACACGTTCTTTAAAAAGAAATTATAATAATTATTATAGTACAGCACATCCATCTATAGAAATTGCTTAGCGCTCATAGGGCTAATTTATACGTCGTATTTTGGTCGGGTCAACTGCAATTCAAACATTAGATTGTTTATCATCAATTGTTTGAATTGCAAAAAAAACAACAGAAATTATATTTCTTTAAATAATGCAAAATGGATTTCTATTTTGACAACCTTTTTGAGCGCTGATTTTAGGATAAGATCAGCGGATACCCATTCGAGAAGTCTTGAACATTGGGAGTTGAAATATGTCTGATTATCAAGTTAAAACTGTACTATAAACAAAATATGAATTATTTTCTTACGTAAAAGGATGCATGCATTAACTTCGTGCCACAATGTTTATATTAACCAAATTCTGGATTGTCGGCCTATAAACCTAATGTATAATTTATAATTATTCAGCAACCATTTTGAAAGTACGTGCTGCATGATGAATATATTGGATGGTGCATGCATGTGATCTCATGCATGCGCTATAAGAAGTAATCAAAAATATTGCTGCATGGTAAAACTAAAGTGGAATAAATTGTCTCACCGCGTTACGAATAACCTTTTTTTAGACGCTCAAAGACTTCAAACACGGTTTGTTGGCACAATTGGTCAAAATGTTATGTGAGAAAACAGGCGCAACGTTACTGCGGCACCACAAACGTGAGCTGTCTAACTGAAAAAAAAGGTCAAACGATTACATGCACGGCTCATTATTCTTTATAACGCATAATTATGAACAGAACTAAGTTCTCTTTGTAGATTTTAGAAATTGGCGTGCGTTGTTACGGTGAGAAAATGCACGTTATTGTAACAGATATTAGCTATAATAAAATAAACAATAGATACAATTTAATTATGGTTCTTAAAAGTAAGAAGTGTCTATTTGACGCATAGTTTATGTTGCTACACAAATACTTGAAGGGAGGGGGCGTATATTTATATATATATATATACCCATTTGCAAAAACGTTGGCCACAGATAGATACAATCGTCCACAAAATATATTGAGACTTTTCAAATTATGCCCCCCTTCCCCCTATTTCAATGTTGTAGGACATGTACTAAAGCTAACGAAGCGTAAATTTGCCCTAAAATGACGCGGGCATGTGTAGCCATTGATTCCCAATACGTTACTTTAAGGTTGAACAGGTTATATTAGAAACAACATTCCTATAATACATGATACACGCTAGTATTTTGTCCGCTGGCCTTTCGTTTGGATAATCAAGCCAATTCTTTTGTCAATTGACTCAATTGTTCAGTCAATGACATCTGTGGGAAATTTTTCCATTGTTTCGTTTACTCGTTCTGAGAATGTCTTAAAGTTCTCATACTGTATGTTTTTTTCAATGGCGTCTGAATTAAGCTTAGACTTAACCAGGTTGAAAATGTTCTCAATAGGATTAATATCTGGACTTCGTGGTGGAATGCTAAATTTTCGGGCTCCTACAACATGCATTGCATCGTTGGCCTTCTTGCTATTCTGCGATGGGTCCCCATCCTGCAGAAACAATTTGCCTTTAGAGTGTGAGCACGAAGAAAACACACGTGGAAAATTCTCACGAATAAAGTCGGCAAAACTTTGTCCATTCAACTTCCCGTTGTATTGCTCACAAAGAACAAAGCCCTTTCCATACGCAATTGCTGCTATGAAATGCGCTACTTTCCCCCCAGTTCCTTCGTGGCTTCCTTTTGCAGTGCACTTATATTTCAGGCCTTCATTAGGTCTCCGCCAGGCCATGGTTTTCGGGGCTCGCGCTTGGTCAGAGGGATTATACTTATGAGTAAAGCTAACCCCATCAAGATAAAAACAAATGTCACGTTTCCAAAAATCTGCACTCAACCTACGCCTAACGTTCCTTGCAAAAGCCATTCTTAAATTCAAATCTTTTCGTGACAGCAGTCCTTTTTTCCTTGCGTGCCTGTACCTCAACCCATCTTCGTGCAATACCCGTCTAACAGTCTCATCAGACACACGGGACCCGATTCCTGCTGATAAGCGCAAGTGCCTACTTGTGAAGTGCCCAACAGAATCTCGTAACACCTCCACTTGTCTTAAAATTGACCGTTTATCTCTTGCGCTAAGTTTAGGAGGACGCCCAGGGTTGTTTTTCCTTTTGTCTACCGGTGTACTACCGATAGGCTTTGCAGCATGTCTGTATATGCTTGCCTTTGAGTATTGCTTATATTTATCTAGAAGTTTTTTTCCTTTTACTCGCAAATCCTGGTAAAGATATCGTAGGTGGAGCGAAACATCAAGTGGTATTTTACTCAATTTTTTGGCCTAAAACGCAGTAAGCAAGTCGTTTTTCAAGATAACGCTTCAGAGCCAACACTATTGCTGCTAATGACGTAAAGCACTGGCCAACAATATTCTTGCAATTGATTAGCCTACTATTTTCACCTTGTTAGAATGGTTTGCAAATCTTACAACAATCAGACAGCTGGTTCGTACACATGTCTTTAAATATACTAGCCTATTGCTCTTCAAAGCCCATCACTTGCATATCATGAGCTCACAGGAGCCCAGGCTTATTTTACTTAAGGGCCTGAGCGCCTACGCACATAATGCATTTACACCTTAAGACCCATCTCATATACTCCCCCCTGGAATTCGACGTCATTAAACTCCCCTCGGAGTCTGATTGGAGACTGATTAATATAATTGAGAGTAACATTGATTAACACTCACAAATGCTCAACTCTTATGGCAATATCTTAAAAGATTGATAAAAATATATGGAGATCACTGAGTAACATATAACATTGACACCTCCTCCCCCCCGGGGCACGTAATCACTAATGTTCCTTCACAAATTCGAAGAGCTAGAGTGTCAAGGTACAGTCACCACAGCTGATAGTGACAGTTCTATGTCACATTCTACATGATGTTTATATAATTTGTGCAGCTCTTATAGCTAAGTTTTAGCCAATTTTAAGACAATCGTCCACAAAATATATTGAGACTTTTCAAATTATGCCCCCCTTCCCCCTATTTCAATGTTGTAGGACATGTACTAACGCTAACGAAGCGTAAATTTGCCCTAAAATGACGCGGGCATGTGTAGCCATTGATTCCCAATACGTTACTTTAAGGTTGAACAGGTTATATTAGAAACAACATTGAAATAGGGAGAGGGGATGTTTTTGTCTCAGATATTATGTGGACGATTGTAGATAGATAGATACTCGAAATATAATTAGAATTGCATATGTTGTGTAATATTATAGAAATCCCATGCAAATGTAATCATATGCAATTCTAATTAGACTTCGAGTATCTATCTATATATCTATCTGCGGCCAACGTTTTTGCAAATGGGTGTGTATATATATATATATATATATATATATATATTAATATATATATATATATATATATATTATATATATATATTATATTATATATACATATATATTTATCACATACGTGTGCCTTTATCAGGGCGATAACAGGGTGACATAAAAACGACATCGTCACTGATATCGCTTTTTGTCACTGATATCGCATTTTGTCCCGCTGCATTTGCCGCTGTCAAAACAAAGATGGCTGACTCGAGCAGTTCGAGGTTTGTTTCAGGCGATGTCGATTGCTTTATAGAAGAAAAGAAGTATGTCATAAACAGGTTATCACAATCGGGACGAGGTGATATCAGTTTTATCGCTTTCAGGACAATATCATAAATGTCCCTCGTTCGCTGCGCTCACTCGTGACATTTATGATATCGTCCCTCAAGCGATAAAACTGATATCACCTCGCCCCTCATGTGATAACTTATATATATATATATATATATATATATATATATATATAATATATATATATATATATAAATTAATTTGTTGTTAGAATTCGAATGACCTAGACCAATAATTATATCGGTATAGCTGATCCCTCTTGCAATACGGTAATAAATATAAAAACGAACAGTTATTTATCGTTGAAAACAATTATTTTATAGTTCAAGCAATAAGTAATTTATCATTCATTTTTAGGGGACTATATGGGGCCCCTTTTTAATACTATTTTGCACTCATTTCCAAACCCGCGCTTGCAAGCGCGAAGGAAAAGCACAAGCCTTTCAAATTCAAATTTGCTGCGAGGTTATGAATGGCGTCAAATGTCGATTATATGTAAGTTTTCATTCAGCGATATTCACCTCACCTCCACGAACAACTGCATGTTAATTATTATATCGGGCAAATGCATAAATGCCGCAGACTGCATGTTCAGCAGCTGATCAAGTCTCGCGTGTGTACATGATGTCTGCTATAAGCACCCGCGATATACAAAAAAATTTCTCTTCAAATATTGCTCAACTAAACCGGCTAGGCAGAGAGTAGCCTTTTCAAGAAAAAAAGGATTTCAAACAAAATAAGAAGAACTCAAGGGTCTACATTAAAGGTTAGTGTGCATGCATGATGAGGGTCTATTCAAGCTGCAGCTGCAACAGGCATGCAAATATATAAAAAGACTTAGTTGTTTCTCTATTTTTCACATCAAAGAAGACTGCATGGCTTTGAATTTAGTTTGATGAAGATCTAGAAGAAAAAGGATTAAGCAAAGATCCTAAAAGCTGTTTAAGGTATCTTAAAATTCTATGCAAATTAGCAATTTAAGTAAACCGTTATAAATTTTCAGCATTTAAAAATTTACAGTTATTTTCATTATAAGATTATACAATGCATATATTTTTAAATTATTTTTTGAAAACTGGAATTCTCACATATAATTACTCCGGCGTAAGACTTTAAAATGTGAAAGAGGCTATAAGCTACTCAAACACCCCATGGAATTTACATAACTGAACACACATTACCCGCTATTTTAAACTACAGGGAACCATTCAATTTTTTTGAATAAATTGAAATTACACGTTTTTTTGCAGTCGCCTTTACGAATTTCGCCTGTATATAATTTTTGGACCAGGAACTAGTCCCCACACGCGGCTAATCTTGTTGTTGTTGTTGTTTGGGTTGTTGTTGTTGTTGTTGTTGTTGTTGTTGTTGTTGTTGTTGTTGCTGTTGTTGTTGTTAGGGGGTGACGCTCTTCAAAAAAGCCTAAGGCTCCGTCAATTCGTATCAGATCGCAATTAAACTTCGCACAACTATCCTTAGCGATATTCCCCATCGATTGACGGAGTTATAATTTTGATTTTTTGATTTTAAAGAAATTTAGAAGCAACTAAAATTGTAGCGTAGTAATCCGTATAGATAATAGATTATATTCAATATTAGTATGCATAACTGAAGCAAGTTCAAATGGCTAAGGCTCCGTTATTTCGAACCAGATCGTGATAAAACTTCACACAACTATCTTAAAGGTTATTCTCTATCGACTTACGGAGTTAAATTGTTTGTGCTTATATACTTGAGAAGATTTGCAAGCCATGTCAGCCTGTGGCGGGAAGCAAATTTTAATATTATTAATATTCATATACTGTGAGTTCAAGCCAGAAGGTCGTGTATTTTCTTTCTTTTGTACCCAATATAAATATATTCATGACTATAGTATGCCCATTGCGTTAAATGCGTTTCTCTCTAGGGCATTACTTATTTTTTATTTATTTTCGGACCAGGAACTGGTCCCTAACTGCTGCTGATCTTCTTTTTCTTCTTCTTGTTGTTAGGGGGCGACGCTCTTTAAAAAAACCCTAAGGCTCTATCATTACTTTTGATCGGAATGAATCTTGGCACAATTATTCTAAGCAATATTCTGCATCGATTGACGGAGTTCGAATTTTTACTTTTGACCTTTGAAGCAAGTTACAAGCAATTCTTGATATATTTGCAGCAAATAATATATACATATCATTAATATTCAGCCTATATACAGGGTGTCCCAAAAAAACGAAAACTATTGAAATCACCCATAGCAATGCAATTGCTATAGTTTGAATGCCTAAGCACTCACAGGTGTATAAATGTTTACCGCCATACTCATTTTTATGCATGCATATAATGCAGTAAAATTTGCTTGTTCGCAAAAATGATATTTATTAACAATATTTAGAATTTACAAATATGGATAACAATATTTAAATGTACATCTCAAGGACCATGACCTTCGACATGTCCCCTTTCTCTAGCAACACAAAGCATTTAGCATTTTGTAAGTTGCATTAAATCCCCACGGGCCGAAACTCGTGAACACGGCATTCAAATTTTAACAATGAGTGATTTCAATAGTTTTCGTTTTTTTTGGGACACCCTGTATAAGTAAACGGAAAAAATTAGAAATACATTGTCCTCTCCATTGTTATAAATACAATGCAGTTCAGAAATTAAACTCGGTTACGCAGTTCCTGGTCCCTATAGTACGATCGTACTTGTTTAGACTTTGCCCAGCATACATATACATAAAAAACGACTATAATCACAGTGGCACGGTGCACGCAACGCTACCTTCTCGCCAGCTACAGCGGCATAGATTAGGACATAGATGTGCAACTCAGTACATTTTAAAAGTGTCTTTGTATTGAAAGCAGATGAAAAATGTAGAAAAGCGACAATTTTAATATAACCGTTCGCAAGATTGCCTAGGTTCATAGATATTTGAAAATTCATCCTGGAGAGAAAGATTGAATCTATACTTCACCAGTTCCTGGTCCAATGGTACGATCGTACTTGTTTATATATCATGTGTTCAAATGACAAAAATTAATTAGAAATTGCCGCGCCTGAATTTCCACAGCGTAAAAAGTCACAAAGATCAGCAAATTAGAAAAAAGAACCTTGACA